AGCTGCTCTAACCTTAGGTTTTTGACGGCCTCAGCCCGTGAGTAACTGCAGGTCATTCTGCTGCCATGCAAGAATGCAGCTCCAGAGTCAATGCTGAGTGCTGCAACTGCTGGAAGCAGGCTGTTGGTGAGCTGGACACCCATACTGCAGAAAGTTTGCTTTGCCTAAAATATATTTAAAAAAACAAAACGGTACAAAGGATGACTTTTGAACTCTGCTGTTGCTTCGGTGTGCTTCTGTGCTATAGAAAAAAGGTTTCAGATGGTAGAAGGGAAGGTGTTGTACTTACTGCAGAGTGCCTGGTTCCAGCTCTGTGGTTAGGTTTGCTGCTTTCCATTGCAAGCCTCGTTGTCAGCCCAAGATTTCTTTTTAGCACGAAAATAAAGCCACTCTCCTACCTTTATGTCTGGGGCTTCTTGCCTGGTCTTTCCTGTGAGAGGAGTCCTGGGGGATGAGAGGAGCAGATGTGCTTTAGGCTGCAGCGTTTTTAGGGCCCCTGTTTCCCATCTCCTTTTGTGCTGCAGGTGAACGAAGTGTCCTTCAGTCCTGATGAGACTCACTGTGCCACGTGTGGGGAGGATGGCAGCGTGAGGATTTGGTCTCTGGGCAGCATGGAGCTGGTGGTACAGTTTCAAGTGCTGAACCAGGTAATGGTTTGTGGCGCATCGATCTTTTCGTCTTGGTAGAGGGCACAGTCACCACCTGGCATTGCAAGGACTGCTGTGTCCTCGTGGAGCAGCCTAAAGCTGGAGAAATACCTGGAGGTGGAGCTTTCAGTGCATTTAGTGCGTACGGTCCCACTGTTTCCTGTCATCAGGTCTCTGCCCTGGTTTCTTTTCCAGAGCTGCCAGTGCCTGGCCTGGAAGCCTCATTCCATCGTTGCATGGGAAGCTGAGAGCCAGCACGTGGTGGCAGGGTACAGCGATGGCACCATGCGCGTGTTCAGCATTTCCAGGACAGAGATGGAGCTGAAAATGCACCCCCATGCCACCGCGCTGACGGCGATCGCCTACTCCACAGACGGTGAGGTTCCCTGTTGTAACAGGGGGGAGATGCTGCTTTGGGGAGCAGTGAAGTCTCCTACAAGACGTGTCTCGTTCCCTTCCCTCCTCTGGCCGCAGGAGAAATGATCTTATCGGGGGGCAAGGACGGGCTCGTGGCTGTCAGCAGCCCTCGCACAGGAATGACCATCCGTGTCCTCGCTGACCACAAGGGCTCCCCGATCACTGTCCTGCAGTGCACCAGGAAGCAGGTGGGACCTTCCTTCCCCTCTCTGCCCGCTGCTGTGCGGGAGCAAGTCCCCCGTGTGGCACTGCACAGCCATGAGGAGGGGCAGCAGCACGGCTGGGTCGGTCGGCCCTTCTCTTTCCTCGTTGTGCCCACCACCCCCAGTAACCCCCCGTAACTTTTGTTAGGTTTTTCTAGGGATAACTTCACCAGGGAGAAGCCACAAGCACTGCAGGAGCAATCCTGAGCCAGTCTGTGCCTGTGGGGGGGACTTTTGGTGGTTTTTGTCGACACCCCGTGCACAGATGTGATGTGTGCCTGCACAGAACAGCTGGAGCTGGGAGCGTTCAGACCCCTGCGTGTGGCCCATGCCCCCGATAACAGCCTCAGGGCGATTTCCCCGCTTCACTCCTTTGCAGCCTGACCTTGTGCACGTAGCTGGCTCTTTGTACAGCTCCTCTGTGAAGCTGGAAGGCTCAGATATGCAACAGCGGGATGTTTTTAGCATCTCCTTCGTCTTTCTCTTCATGGAGAGCCTTTTTTTTTCCTTTGTGCAACTTCCTGAGATGAGAATAATTTTGCCTGAGTTCTCTGGCTTTAAAATCTGGGCTGCAAAGCCGCTTTTCCTGGTAATTATATGGGTAGGAGGCCCTCTCAGTTTTAGGTGAAGGATGTGGTTAGAAGACGTACCTGCATGCAGTCCCCTGGGAGATGTGCAGGTGCAGAGGATGTCCAGAAATCCGCTGCTTGCTCCTCCTCCTGCAGCCTCTTCTGCCGGGGTGCTCAGCCCAGGGCACGCTGCTGGCTCTGGAACCACCGCTTCCTTGTCCTATTTTATTGTGATAAATGCCTTTAAGCACTGCTCAAATGAGAGAATCCCGGAGGTTAATCCTGGCGTTAATCCCCTGTGTTCCCATGAACTCCTGCCCTCTGCTACTTCTTGCTGGCGGCTTTCTGTGAAGCTCCAGTGCTGCAGGAGTCGTAACGTTGCTTTTATCTTCTGTAGTACCACGAGTTTGGGGTGGAAGGAGGTGAGCTCTGGCTGGCCACCAGCTCCGACCGTCGGGTCAGCGTCTGGGCCTCCGACTGGCTGAAGGACAAGTGTGAGCTCCTCGACTGGCTCAGCTTCCCTGCTCCTGCCAGCCCGGAGGTGAGCACGGCGCTCGCCAGCTCCTGTCCCCACCTTGGCACCGTGCAGCCCCGTCCCTTCAGCACTCTCCCCATCTGTAAACAGGGTGTGAGGCATCCTAATCCCCTCCGAATTCATGTGAGACTGTCAGCACAGTCTGATGTGTGTTACAGGTGTTGTAAAGTTTTTGGTTTCAGCCACCCCGGAGGGGAGGGATGCCTCTGAGTGGGACAGGTGCCGACAGCGAGTGTGCTTAGCAAAATCACCTTCCTGGGTTCTCTGCTGCTGGGAGAACTTGCTAATGCACCTTCGAGGGTGTAGACAGGCCCCGTGAACCAATTGGCACTGCCTAACCCCCTGGGAAGTACTGACACTAAGCACGAGGAGACAAAAAAATACTTTTACGAAGAGCTGATACTCCTGTGCTATGCAAAACAGAGCGCAGCCAGGAGTCGGCACAGTCAGCACAGAAGAGAGACCTAATTCTGGAGCACAGCTGCTGACTGATGCTCCCAACAAGCGTGAATATCCTGAGCCAGAAGCCCGGTGCCTGCTAACAGAGCCAAACACACCTGCTCCAGGCCCTGAGTGCCTGTGAGACTGTGCAGAACGCTTTGGCTGCAGAGCAGCTGTGGGATTTGGGCAGCAGGACATCTGTGTCCCAGTGCAGTGTCTGCACTGGACACGAAACAACCTCCCGTGCACGTGATATCAGCCTGCAGAAGGAAGCTGGGTCTTTTTGGGGGACGAGTGGTCGTGCCTCAGCCCCAAGCACCAGCCGGGCTGTCAGAGGTCTCCCCACAGTGGATGTGGGAAGGACTGATCCTTGCATCCAGTGCTAAATATCTATCTTCTGGGCCTTTTTGCTTGCGCTGAAACCAATCCATGACCCAGTCCCACCTCCATGCCCACGCAGGAATAATGCCCTGGTGGAAATTCAGCCTGCTGACCCCAGTGCGTCCTGCTTCTGTGGCAGTAACCAGCCTGCTGCAGGTTTCCATGGCAGTGTGGGGTTGCTCCTTGCTTCTTTGAAGTGAGCACGGCTGAGACGGCAACGCAAGGAGGAGGAAACAGCCTCCACCACAAGAATTTCCCAGTGCTCGTACAGCTGCAGCCCAAGGGCTGCTGTCCCTGTCCCTCTGTGCTCTCCTTTGCTCCCCGTTGTCTTGGCCTCACTGTTGTTCCTTCTGGTTTCCCCTACCAGGGTCTCAGCAGCCTCCCACCCAGCCTGGCTGCTTTCTGCCCTTGGGAGCACGGTACCCTGGTCTACGTTGGCTTTGGGATGCAGAAGGAAGCCTTGTTTTACAGCCTGCACAAGAAACAGGTACTTTTGGCACCCCACGTGCTGTGCCAGGGCAGCATAGGCACTGCTCTGCTGTTGTGTGGCCGTGTTAAATGAGACAGAGGGGAGGCAGCACTGCCCTTCTCCCTCACGAGACCCACAGGCCAAGCTGGTGGCTTGGGGACGAGCCCCTATATCCACGAGGGGAGAGCAGGACCCCCTCTTAACCCAAATATCAGCCTCAGAGCAGCCTCCCCTCCTGCTAAGCAGGGCGCAGAGAGGAGCGCTGCGAATAAATCCAACCCTGAGGGTGTGAGGTGGGTTGGGGAAAGCAGCTGCAGGGCCCTGTCCCTGCCTCTGGGCTCGCTGCTGCTGCTTTTGGAGGAGAGGGCAGTTGCCTCCAGGACCACTAAAGGTCTCTGAATTGTGTCTCCTGGGAAGTGGAAGTGCCTTTGGCAGCTTTTTGAGAGAGGCCGTGTATCTGCGAGCCTCCCTGTTGAGCAGGAGCCCTGCACCCTCCTAAAGGTGTCCCTTGAGCACTGTTCTGCTCCCTGCTTGTCCCTGAGGCGTTGCTGTGCTTCTCTTGCTGGAGCGCAGGTGGTCGAGAAGATCTCCTTGCCCTACTTCGCCACCTCGCTGAGCCTGTCCCCAGCAGCTCGCTTCATGGCCGTTGGCTTCAGCGGTGAGTAGCGGAGGATGCCCCTTAGCAGCATCCCCCCGTTCCCTGCTTGTTGTCCCTATGCCCATGGGGATGTCCCCTGCCTGCTGTGACCCCCTCCTGTCCCCACAGAGCGCCTCCTCCGCCTGCAGCCCTGCCCCGCGGGCACCCCGCAGGACTACGGGGGCCACGACGACGCCGTCCACCTCTGCCGCTTCGCCCCCGCCGGCCGCCGCCTGCTCACGGCCTCGCACAGCACCCTGCTCGTCTGGGACCTGGGGGGCGGCTGAGGGACAACAGTGACGAGGGACAACCATGAGGGACAACCGTGACAAGAGACATGTCCCATGAGGGACAACCATGACAAGAGACATCCATGAGGGGACCTCAGCGGTTGCTGAGGGACAACTGTGACAAGGGACAACCATGACAGGGGACAACCACCATGAGGGACAACCACGGCCCCTGGTCTCACTTAGGGCCACCGCTGGCCATATGGGGCCTGGTACTGGCCCTAGCTCTACCCCATGAGCCCCCCGCGCTGCGTTTTGGGGCGGTTTCGCCTTTATTTGTCACTTTTCCTTTCACAATAAACCACCTCCGCGCCACCTCAGCCCGCTCGGCCTCGCGGGGGGGGGACACCTCCGGCCGCCGGGGGGCGCCGCTCCCGGCCTCGCCTCTCGCTGCTGCGGCCCTGAGGCGGTGGCGGCGGCCCCGGCCCCGGGAGCGGCGGCGGCGGCGCCGCCATGAAGCGGGACGTGAGGATCCTGCTGCTGGGGGAGGGTAAGGGGCGGCCGGGGGGGGGTAAAAAGGGCGGCCGGGACTCGCCCCGGTGCCCTCCCGGTGCCAACGCGTCCCCATTTCTTTCTCCCCGTTTGTTTCTTTTCTTTCCGCCCCCCCCCCAGCCCAGGTGGGGAAGACGTCTCTGATCATGGCGCTGGTGGGCGAGGAGTTCCCCGAGGAGGTGAGGCCGGGATCGGGCCCCCACCCCCCCCCCCACCCCCGGTTTCGGTCCCTGCAGGCCGGGGCTGTGCCGGGCCTGGAGCCCCGAGCTGCCTGCATATTGCCCCGGGGGGGCTGTGCTGCCCCTCGCTGCCACCCCTGAGGGGCTCAGGGCATGGCCCTGGCTGCAGATGTTCGCCCAGTGCCTCCAGCAGCACCGCCGGCTGCTCACTGGGGCTCGGGGGGTGGCTGGACCCCAAAACCTTTCTATGTTTCGCAGTGAATCCCATGCTATCAGCATAGCACATCTCCCAGGAGGGTGGGTCAGGCTGGGGGGCACCCCAGGGCTCAGCTCTGGGGGGGGCAGAATTAACATTTCTGAACCATAGCTCTCACTGCAGGACACGGCGCTGTGCCTCAAGCGAGGGCTCAGGCCTAGGAGGCTTTCAGAGGTTTCACTTTACAGAGGGCACCGTAGCAAGCAGCAGCTTGCCGTGCACAGCCCCTTCCTCGTGCACAGCCCCTTCCTCGTGGGCTGAGAGCAGTGTGTGGGCTGCAGGCACCCTGCCCACGCAGTGGCCGCATTGAGGTCTGAGCTCAGCCACCCTCTCTGCTGCATTCGGCCTGGTCGGTGTGTCCACGCGATGGCACGGGGTCTGCTCGCTTCGCAGGTGCCCCCCCGTGCCGAGGAGATCACGATCCCGGCGGACGTCACGCCCGAGAAGGTGCCCACGCACATCGTGGACTACTCAGGTGGGGCCGGCCCCCTCGCTCCCTGCCAGCCTCACCTCTCCCTGCCCGCCTGCGGCCAGGGGAAGGAGCATCCCCACTGCTCAGTGACGGCTCTTTTCCCCTTCCAGAGTCGGAGCAGACGGAGGATGAGCTGCAGGAGGAGATCGCTAAGGTGAGTGGGGCTGGATGGGGGGGTTGTGGGTCAGGAGGCTGCGTTGCTGTAGCCCTGCAGCTTACAAGCGATGCGTGGCTGTTCTCCCTTCCCATTAACCACCCAGAGACGTGCAGGCAGTTGGTTATCTGCGGATTAACGCTATCGGTTTGTTTAGCAGATTGTTTAATCCTTCTCTGGGTTGTAAGCTGGCGTGTGGCTTGTCCCGGTCCTCCGGGGGGGCTCCAGAAGGAGAGCAGTGGGGGGCAGCTCGCTGCCGACCAGGGGTGGAAGGAGTCACGGAGCACACAGCGTGCTCCTGGCCCTGGGGTGTTCCAGCCTTGAAAGAGGGGAGATGCAGTTGTTGAGCGTGGGTGAGACCCCTCTGCTCCCTGTTCCTGTGGCTGCCCGATGAAGCAGTGGCACAGAGGTGGTGGTTTGGGAGCTGGAGCCCTGGGGGACTGGGTGGAGAGGGGATGGGATGGGATGGGATGGGATGGGATGGGATGGGATGGGATGGGATGGGATGGGATGGGATGGGCCCGGCTGCTCCTCACCACTCCCAGATAGCTTTGGCTCCATGCTGAGGAGACTTCTTGGCTGTGGGGAATAACACCGCATCTCTGCTGTGTGTTTCATGTGAGCAGAACTATTTAATCGCTCCTCCTCGGTGTTCAATGGATGAGGAGGTGGGACAGGGAGCACAGGGGTGCTGTACCTGCCCCACAGACAGGAGGAAAGTACAGATGCTTAAAACGGCTCCAGAAAATCCTGCCTAAACCCTTGTGTGGCCCCAGGATTAGCCTGCATGGCTTCAAATGGCCTCAAGCCGTGTGCCCTCATCTCTCTTTCAAAAGTGCTGCATCCAGGGAGTGGACCCAGTAGAGGTGGGAGCTGCCACACACAATCCACCAGTTAGTGAAGAGAAATAGCTGTGCTGGGCCAAGAGCTGGGGAGGGAGGGTCTGTGTGCTCTCACGGGGCTGTTAGGGCCAGAGCTGATGCTGTCCAGCTCCTCAGGAGCCCACGGTGTCTGTGTGTGCGTGTGCTGCACGTGCTCAACTGCAGCTGCTGGGTTGCAACGCAAGCACGACGGCTGCCAGGGCTCAGACCTGCCTCCCCACCACGGCGGGAGCACCAGGACCCTCACTCACCCCTCTTTCTCTTCTCTCTTGCAGGCCAACGTGGTCTGCGTGGTGTACGATGTCACCAAGGAAGTCACGATCGAGAAGGTAACGTGCTCCCCTCCAGGGCCTGATGCTCCTGGTTCTGTTTGGGGTTTGAGACTCCTGCTCAGAGGCAGGCTGAGCACAGCCCAGGCCTGCTCCCACACTGGTAATCGCCTCCCTGCGCTGGGGGCAACAGGCTTGTCACATCCTTCATCTGGCATTCAGCATCCCCGGGTGTGCTCTGCCTGCTGCTGCGGGGGAACACCGGGGAGCAGATGGCTGCAGGGCCCTGCCGACAGCTACGGCGCGCGTGCTGGGAGCTGCCTCTCACTCCCCAGGCTGCTCTGACAGGCCTTTCCCCGTGCTCGCCTTTCAGATTCGCACGAAGTGGATCCCCATGGTGAACGGAGGAGCTGAGAAGGGAGCCAGGTACTGGGTGCGGAGCTGGGTGATCCCGGAGGCTGCAGGGCCCTCACCGCCTTCGTGTCCTCCAGGGGCTGCTTGCATCAAGCCAGCTGTGCAGGCGGTGGCCAAACCACTTGTAGCAGAAGAACGTGGGAGCTTTTCTCCCTCAAAGTCTAGCTGAGGCAGAAGATCATGGGAGAGGGTTCCTCCCCACCTCGATCTCTTGCCATCCAGGCAGAGAGAGGCTGCTGCCGAGGGAGTATGGGGGCAGAGGAGCCACAAGCTGTGTGGGGATCACTTAGGCAGGAGGCTGCTGTGCTGGATTAAAGGCTTCTGAACATATTGTTGCTGGGTGAAAGCGTAAGCAGGATCAGGCAGTCTGTTTCTCCAGATGGATGCTCCCAGCCGTAGGAGGCAGGAAAGCTGTTCTGGACCTTGCAGAGGAGGGTGGGGAGGCTCCCGGCCGGCTGCCCAGCAGCACGTGCGGCTGGAGCGGGGCTGGGAGAGGGGTGGCCTTGCTTGTGCTCTCTGACACTCTGCCTTTTTTTCCACAGAATCCCCATTATTTTGGTGGGGAACAAGTCTGACCTGCAGATGGGCAGCTCCATGGATGTCATCCTGCCCATCATGAACCAGTTCTCGGAGATTGAGACCTGCGTGGAGGTGAGGCACCTGAGGGTTTCTGCAAAGCCTCCCTGAGGGGTAGGAACACTTTGTCATGGTTCAGGAGAGCCTTCGTGCTTGCAGGGAACACTCTGCTCTGTAGAAGTACCATGGTTTGGGTCTCAAGGGCCTGTGCTTTACGCCTTCTGCCCTTTGGCTTCCTCGCAGAGAGCGAGTTTCAGTGCCTGCCCTCTCTGGCTGTAAATGGTTTTGAAGCTCCACGCAGCCCTGTCGGGCCTGAGGCTGTGGAAAGGACACAGCAAAGCCACAGCGTGAGCAGGAGCTTCCCTTTTGTTTTTTTCCTGCTGGTGGGCAGAGATTGCTCTGAGCTTTGATGCATTCTTTGTCTGGCTTGGAGAGCTCCAGTCATCTTCCTTCTGCCCCCATCACGAGCCGGTTGCCTGCCCCACTGACAGTCCTGTCTCTTCCTTTGCATCCTCAGTGCTCCGCCAAGAACCTCAAGAACATCTCTGAGCTCTTCTATTACGCTCAGAAAGCTGTGCTGCACCCCACCGCCCCCCTCTATGACCCGGAGGAGAAGCAGGTAGGAAGCACTGCTCCTGGTTTCTGGAGGAGCCCCTTCCCGTCTGCCCTGGGGGGCTGCAGAGCTCCTTGGGAAGGAGGGAGGAGAGTTTGGGCCAAGATAGCAAGAAAGAGGGGAAAGGGGTACCTGTGGAGGGAGCCAGCAGAAAAATATGTGTCTCCGCATGCTAAGTGCAGCCAGGACAGAGAATCTGGGGGTTTGGGAAGAAGTCCTCATGCTTCAGACCCTGTGGCAGCCGTGGTGGGAAGAATGCAGGAGAAACCTTGGCTGTGAGCCCCTCTGAAGGCAGTGCCCTGTTTTTATCACCATGGTTGGTTCCTTGCAGCTGAGACCCGCGTGTGCACGAGCACTGACCCGGATTTTCAACCTCTCGGACCAGGATAACAACCAGATCCTGAGCGATGATGAGCTCAACTACTTCCAGGTAGGGCTGGCTGTGGGGCTGGGGCACAGCCCAGTCCCTGCGGCTGCTGGGGAGCTTTGGGGTTGTGCTGTCTGCGTGCCTCCTCACGAAGGCCTTCTTCCTTTTGGGAGGTAGAAATCCTGCTTTGGAAACCCGCTGGCTCCCCAGGCCCTGGAGGACGTGAAGATGGTTGTGTGGAAGAACACCACGGATGGGGTGCAGGACAACGGGCTGACGTTAAACGGTACCAGCACGGGGGCTCTGTGCTCCTGTCCTCTTGGCTCTTGATCCGAGCCGAATTAGTCCCTCCTGCCAAAGCAAGCCTGAGCCTGCTGCGGCCACTTAAAGCTCCCTGTCCCAGCACCCTGTTTCCCCAGAGGAAGCGTAGTCCTGAGGTGTGGATCCCCGAGGCAGTGCCCGTCTGGCCCTGCTGTCTGAGCCGCCTGGTCTCTCCCACAGGCTTCCTCTTCCTCAACACGCTCTTCATCCAGAGGGGCCGGCACGAAACCACCTGGACCATCCTTCGCCGCTTTGGCTACGACGACGAGCTGGAGCTGACAGACGACTACCTGCACCCGCAGTGCGTGTCCTGTTGTGGATGGAGGTGACGGGGTGGGATGTCCCCAAAGGGGGCGACCCGGGCTCCTCTCTGCGCCCTGGGGGCTGCTGCCTTGCTCAGCTGAGGCTGTGCCCTGAGCTCACGGTCAAGCTCGTGCTCCTCACATTCCCCTGTGGCTGGGAGCTGACACGAGGGGTTGGCAGCAAATATAACGGCCTTGGAGCTGTTGACTGTGCTGCTGGCGCTGGTGTAGGCGGGCAAGGAGGGGGGAGGCAGTGAAGGCCTGTCCCTGACATCCCTTGACATCAGCAAGGGGCTGTGAAGGCTGTTCTGCCTCTGCCTGAGCTGTGAGCTGTCGGGAGCAGTCAGCTGTCAGCAGAGCCCTCCCGGCTGGTTCTGCAGCTGCTGTCTCTTCTCTGCTCCCTGCCACCCCAGAGGTGCTGATCTGCCAGCAATGAAAGGCTTTGGCTGCGAGCTGCCTCGGCCTCTCCCCAGAGAGCAGGCTCCAGGGGCAGACAGCAGGGCCCCTGCTGGTGGAAAGCACTGGGGCTAACGCTGGGCCCTGAGCACGAGGCAGAGCGAGGGCCGTGGCAGCTCCTGGGCTGCTTGGGCAGTGTGGATGTGCCACGGGGAGTCTGCTCCACAGCGTTGAGGCCCTCTCCTACAGCTTTGTTTGGTTTTGTTGGGGTTTTGTTGGGCAGGGAGGGGCTGGCGAGCCACGTGCCCTGGGCGAGATGTGGCTTTGCTGAGGGTCCCCTCACGCTGCCCTGGGTTGGGGGCTCGAGGAGGCGTTGGAGCTGCTCACTGGGGTCTCTCCCGGCAGGTTCCGCCTGCCCCCCGGCTGCTCCTCGGAGCTCAACCACCTGGGCTACCAGTTCCTGCAGCGGCTGTTTGAGAAGCACGACAAGGTGGGCACCACGGTGGGGCTGTGCGGGAGCCTGGCTGCTCTCCGCCTGCCCCTGCTCCCCTTCCAGCAAAGGGCTTTCCTTTGTCACAGGGGCATGGGACCGGGGTCACCACCTTTGCCAAAGGTGCAGACAGTAAATTATGAGCCTTTGGGCTCTGAGCTATCATCCAAGTGGCATCACCCCTCCACAATGACTGCCTGCAGCACACAGGGGATGGGGGAAAGTGGGCAGAGCTGCTGGCCTGCAGCCACGCAGCTGGCACCCCTGTGGGAGGAGAACTGGGCCACGGAGAGGCAGAGAAAGCAGCTGGTTGTGCCATGAGCTGGCTCTGGAGAGGGAGAGGAAGGCTGTAGAGGATCTGCAGTGCATCTGGACGTGCTAATTAGTTAGGTGTCGGCCTGCACCTGGGTTGTGGCAGCTCGATGGGAGCTGCAGCACTGAGTTGACAGCTCTGCTACGGAGCCAGGCTGAGGGAGCTGGGGGAATTCAGCCTGGGGATAAGGCTTCAGAGAGACCTCCCAGCGGCCTGCCGGTACCTGCAGGAAAGCTGGGGAGGGACCCTCTGTCATGGGGTATAGGGATAGGACAAGGGGAATGGCTTTAAACTAAAAGAAGATAGGTTTAGATTAGATGTGAGCAAGAAATTCTCCAATATGAGGGCGGTGAGGCACTGGCCCAGGCTGCCCAGAGGAGCTGTGGCTGCCCCATCCCTGGCAGTGCCCAAGGCCAGGCTGAGTGGGGTTTGGGCAGCCTGGGCTGGGGGAGATGTCCTTGCCCATGGCAGGGGGTTGGAACCAGATGGGCTTTAAGGTCCCTTTCTTAAGGGACCTTAAAGCAGGGGTGTCTGTGGAGAGGTGTGGCGCATGTAGGCTGTGCCCTGCCTCGGCTGCTGACTCCCCGTGTGTTCCAGGACCAGGACGGTGCCCTCTCGCCCACGGAGCTGCAGAGCTTCTTCAGCGTCTTCCCCTGCGTGCCCTGGGGCCCCGAGCTCTACAACACGGTATGCACCACTGATAAAGGCCTGCTTTCCCTGCATGGATTCCTCTGCCAGTGGACGTAAGCTCAGTCCCTCTCCCACGCCTTCGGTCGCCTCGCATAGCGCTGGCTGGGTTGGCACCCCCCGACCGGCTCCCCGCTGCTCTCCGCCTCTCCAGGCTCGTGGCCTACCTGGACGTGCGGCACTGCCTGGAGTGCCTGGGCTACCTGGGCTACCCCATCCTGTCGGAGCAGGACTCCCAGACGCAAGCCCTCACAGGTACGGCCGTGCCCTCCCCTCCTCACCCCCTCGTGCCCCTCGTCTGTCTCACCCGGCCCCTCTCTCCTCGCAGTGACCCGGGAGAAGAGGATTGACCTGGAGAAAGGGCAGACCCAGAGAAACGTCTTCCTCTGCAAGGTGCTGGGAGCCAGGGGCGCAGGCAAGTCCGCCTTCCTGCAGGCCTTCCTCGGCAGGAGCCTCGCGGTGAGTGGCTGCTCCCCTGCGCGGCGCAGCAGGAGGCAGAGCGCGAGGCCCGGGAGCGACCTGCGGCGTCACGGCACCTCCACGCCGCGGCTCTCGCCTCCTTCGTTCCGTCTAGGGTGACGGGCCCCCTCCCTCGGCCTGTCCCCGGGACCTGCAGGGGCTCCTCCTGCCCCAGGGGTGTCCCTGACCCCACTGAGGTGATGCTGGTTTTCCCTGCTCGTTACGAACGGCTGTTTCGCCGCGGGGATTGGAGCAGTGGGGAATCCTTTCCCTCCCCCGAGTGCTCCTCTTGCTCCCCGCTGTCTGAGACAGTGTTTTCCTCCGTGGCAGGCCCAGAGGGAGACCCCGGGAGAGCCGTCCCTCTACGCGATCAACACCGTGCAGGTCAATGGCCAGGAGAAATACCTTATAGTGAGTCGGGGAGCGGGGGCAGCGCTCGTGGGTCCACCCCGTGTTGCTGGGAAGCCGCAGCACCATCGCAGTGCCCCTGGGGCCAGCCCCATCTCCGTGTGGCGGCGCCGTGCCACGTGTCCTTTCCCCTCCTGCTCCAGCTGTACGAGGTCAGCGCTGACACAAAGTTCACGAAGCCGTCGGACGCCGCCTGCGACGTCGCCTGCTTGATCTATGACCTGAGCGACCCCAGATCCTTCAGCTACTGTGCCAGTATTTATAAGGTGAGTGGCTGGGGCCCTGGGGGATTCAGCCTTTGAGCGGCAGCCCCGTGTCTCCCAGGAGGGTGCTGCAGGAGCTGGCCTTCCCCAGCCCTGGTGCTGAGCTCCTTCCTCCAGGCAGCGGTGTTGCTGGCTGAGCCGTCCCTCCGGGTGCCCTCCAGCCCTTCCCAGTTGGGACCCCTCATGATTCCCTCCCTGTAGACCCGTGGGGTCGCTCACCCCTCTCTGAGCCTTGTGCCCATCCCCGCAGGAACACTACATGGACAGCCAGATCCCCTGCGTCTTCGTGGCCTCCAAGACAGACCTGCCAGAAGCCAGTCAGCAGCCCGGGCTGTCCCCCGCCGAGTTCTGCTACAAGCACTGCCTCCCGCCGCCCTTCCTCTTCTCCTGCCACAGCCAGGGCCCGCCTGGCACCGCCGTCTACACCAAGCTGGCCACCGCCGCCACCTTCCCGTTAGTATCCGTCCCTCCCGGGCAGGGGGCTGTGGGCTGGGAGCAGAGCTCGGGGAGGAGGGCTGCTGGCTCTGCCCGCCAGCACCTCACATTTGGTGCCGTTTCTCTTTGGCTCTCAGCAATGGGAGCTTCGTTCCCTGCTCCAAGAGGGCGAAGGGGACTCGGCTGCCTTCTGCCTTGGGCATCTCTCTGGCAGATTTATTAGATAAGCTCCCAGAGCAGGATTTTTATTTTAGGAGCCTGAGATAAAAAGTGCTGAAGGGGGAGTCGCCAGGCTAGTTAGAGAGGCCTGCGGAGAGGAGGCGGTGGCTGTTTTCTCCCGATAGATGGATCAGGCAGCAAAGGAGGTCAGCGAGGCAGGACCTCTGATGGCTCTGGGAACAAATCGCCCCTGGCAGGGGCTGGGTGTCGTGCTGGGCAGCGGGGAGGAGGCTGCTGAGGAGAGAGGGGCTCTGCCCGCAGCGAGGCTCGAGGGCGGCGGGGCCGAGGGGCGGCGCAGCGCCGGGGGCAGAGCCCTTTCCGGGAGAACATGTGGGTGCGTTGGAAGACAGGATGGGATTACTAGCGAGTGGTTTTCCCTTTAGCTTCTTTTCAATAAACAACTTTATTTTTAGAGCTGACACTTTTTTTTTTTTTTCCCCCCTCTGCAGTATTAAAATTTAAATATTCTTAATATATCTTAGGGTATGTGGTATAAATAAATAACGGCGTGATGGAGGGCCGGGGATTGGCTCCTCTCCCCTGATTTAGTGGGGAATGAATAATGGATACGTCTTTCTTGCTTGGAGAGGAGCGCGTTGATGCAGGACAGCACGTGTGTAGGGAGGGGATGTGTACGCACGGGTCCCTTCCCTGCTGGCCTCGGGTTGGAACCACCGCTGGGTCCCCATCGTGCCCGCATCTCCACCTGCACCCGCTGCCGGGGCTCTCTGCTCTTGGAGCTGTAAAAGCAGCCTGACCTAGAAAGGCGGGCGCCTAGCTCCTTGCTTGTACTAATTATTTAGATGTTGGTGTGCTATTTCAGGACCACAGCAGGGTAAAGCCTGCGTCCGTTCCACCAGCAGGGCAGGAAGCCCTCGCTTGGCTCGGCGATGCTGCCGGGTGGCCGGCGCTCCGGCTCGTGGTGGCCCTGGCTTGGAGCCGTGCTCTCCCAGGGCCCTCCCAGGGACCTGGCATCGGGGCAGCCATCCCCGTGCGCCTCCCTCACTGCCCTTTTCTCTCTTCCTTTGCAGCCACCTGAACGCCACGGAGCTGGGAGCCGCCTCCTTCTGGCTGCGGGTGGCCCTGGGGGCCGCGGTGACCGCCCTGGTAGGCTTCACGCTGTACCGCGCGCTAGCCAAGAACAAGTGAGAGCTGCTCTCCGCCCCGCCACACCAGCCTCCCCCTTCCCCTGCGTCCAGCTGGTCCCTGCTGGGAAATCCTCCTCCCCCCCAGCCTCGATTGCAGGACCAGTGAGACCAGACGTCCCAGCACCAGCAGCAGGATCGATCCTCGGCACCAGCCGGGCGGCTGGGGACCCCTCCCTGGGAGCCGAGAGGCTCACCCCCGTCTTTTATTCTGTTCACGTCTTTTTAATGTTTGTTTTTATGCTCAAACCCGAGTGCTGCAGTATCCGTGGGGCAGATACATCCCGTCCACAGCAGGCTGTGCTGGTGCCCTCAGGTCTCCATTTCCCTCTGCTGGGAAAGGCAGCCAGGGAGGGCTGGGGGTGCTCGCTGCCCAAACCCCACTTTTGGGGTCTCTCCTGGCCCCTCCTGTTGGGATGTCGTGGCTGCAGCCCCCAGCCCTGGGCTGTGAGGGGCAGGAGCAACACCTGGGCCCCATCCCAGGCCCTTTTCTGTCTCCTGTTTCTGTCCTGGAGTGCTGCAGCGGGATCTTGACCCACCTGCCCTCCTCCCCTGGCTGGCTGCGTGTCCTGTCCCCTCCCCACCCCTCCTGTATTCCCGGGGGGGGGCCGAGGGCCGGCTGTTCTCCTTCCCTGGCCGTGCCATGGCCGAGCTGGTGCCACATGCTGGCACGTGGCCCTTGTCCTGCTGTCCCCTCCGCAGGGACCGAGGCCGGAGCAGGTGCCTCCGGGCTTTGCATCTCCTGGTACGACTGGAACCACATCTATGCCCCGTTCCCAGCCCCATCATGGGCAGCTGGCATCTCAGCCCAGTTTGGGGCCAGCCCCGCCCCAGTGCCCCAGAAACGGAGCCCCCAGGCAGCTCTGTGCCCAGCTCCCCCCTCCCCAGGCTCCCACCCTGCTTCTGCCACGCTGCGGGGAGCCCGGGGAAGCTCCTGGTCTAGAGCCGTGCCCCAGGCTCAAGGGCTACACTCAGGGTAGGCTGATTTACAGGCAGCTGCCTTTCTGTCCGTCTAGTTAAAGTTTTATTGTGGCCTGGAGCCGGCGAGGGCTTGGAGACGCCACCTCTGTCCCCCATCCCACGTGGCGTGGTGGTGGCACTGTCCCCAGTGCTCGCTGCTGGCTCGCGGGTCCTGGCACCGCCGGGGCCACCTCTTCCATTCCTGTTCCCACTCCCCGTGCCCCAGCTGGGGAATGCGTCCCGTGGGGCAGAGCCCTGGGGCGCGGGGCTGTCCCCGTGCCCGTCACCGCTCCAGGTCTGGTCTTTTAGGTTTGTTCTCTATAACGAAATAAATTTTTACACGCCTTCCGCTCGCACCCGCTGTCCTGTCTCGCGTAGGGAGCAGCACCGCTGTCCCTGGCCGGAGCTCTGCAAAGCCAGGGGGACCTTGGGGTGTGGTGTGAGGGGGTCCCAGGGGAGCGAGGAGTCCCCAAGGGCTCCCCGACCCTTTGGGGACAGTGACAGGACGTCAGGGTACAACCTGAAGCCTCATTTATTTGTCTCCGCAGGCTCTGCCGCAGGCCCTGGGCACTGGGGACCGTGGTCACAGCTCTCTGGGGCCCTGCCACAGCTTGGGATTGCCCCGGGGACTGTGAAATCCCCCAAAGCCTCAGCTCTCCCCTGGGATGAGGCCCTGGAGAGCTCCAGGGCTGGATGGGGCCGCGCTGCTCCCCTTGTGTGTGGGATCTTCTGGGCTGTCAGGGCAGAAAGGGGTCCCAGGGTGGGGGGACACAGCCCGACCAGGCTGTGGGGTGCCCACACGGGGATGGAGCAGAGCTGGTGCGGGCAGGAGGTGATGCTAAGGGGGATGGGATGCAAGGTGCTGGGCTGGGCTGTGGGTGCCCTAACGGGAACAGAGGCAAAACTTGTGGGCACCTCTGCCAGCTGCAGCATCTGCACGGTGCTGGGACCTGTACTGGGATGTTGGGACCTGTACTGGGATGCTGGGACCCATACTGGGATGCTGGGACCCATACTGGGGTGCAGGTTCCTGTAGTGGGATGCACAGAGCCATACTGGGACATGGGTACCTGTGCCAGGATAAACACATCTGTACCAGGATGTGTGTACCCATACTGGGATGCAGGTACCCGTACTGGGCTGCAGATTCCTGTAACAGGATGGGTGTAGTGGGATGCATATACCTGTACTGGGAGGCAGCTTCCTATACTGGGATGCACATACCCATACTGGGATGTAGATTCCTGTAACAGGATACATGTAGTGGCATGCCCATTCCCATACTGGGATGTCCGTTCACCCCGGGATGCCCGTTCCCATACTGGGATGCCTGTTCCTATCCTGGGATGCTCATTCCCATCACGGGATGCAGGTTCCCATCCTGTGATGTCCATTCCCATACTGGGGTGCCTGTTCTCATGTTGAGATGCCTGTTTCCCCCAGGAAGCCAGTTCCCATACTGGAATGCCCATTCCCATCCCAGAATGCCTGTTCCCTCCAGGATGCCCGTTCCCATACTGGGATGCCTGTTCTCCTCAGGATGCCCATTCCTGTACTGGGATGCCCGTTTCCATACTGGGATGCTTGTTCCAATCACGGGATGCAGGTTCCCATACTGGGATGCCTGTTCCCATACTGGGATGCCCATTTCTGTACCGGGATGCCTGTTCCTATATTGGGATGTCCGTTCCCATACTGGGATGCCTGTTCCCATCCCAGGATGCCTGTTCCCTCCGGGATGCCCATTCCCTCTGGGATGCCCATTTCTGTACTGGGATGCCCATTCCCATACTGGGATGCCCATTCCCATACTGGGATGCCCGTTCCCCCCGGGCTGCCCGTTCCCATCCCGGCACGCCGCCCCCCCTCTCCCCACGGGGCGGAGCGGAGCGGGGCGGGCGCCGCTTCCCCGCTTCCCCGGGCGGCGGCGGCGGCGGCGGGGAGGGGGGGGACACAAGGAGAGGAGGGGGGGGGGGGCGCTGCGCCGTGCGCTGCGGCGGGGGCGGCTCCGTTCGGCTCCGCTCCCGCCCCCGCCGCCACCGCCGCCGCCGCCGCCCCGCTGCCATCGGCGGCTCCCGGCGCCGCCGCCGCTCTCAGCTCGGAGCCGGGCCCGCCGCAACGCGGGGCTGGAGGGCAGAGCCGCCCCCCCCGCCCCCCCCGCCGCCGCCGCCGGCCCCCCCCCCGCCGCCCGCGCCGCTCCCCTGCCCGGTTCGCCGGCCCCGGGCGCGGGGGAGCGGCGGAGCCCGCACCCCGCCGGGTGCATGGACAGGAGCTCCCTGCTGCAGCTCATCCAGGAGCAGGTGAGAACCGCGCCGGGGGGGTCGGGGGGGGGCTGTGGGATGCTTTGGGGGGGGGGGCCGCCGAGCACCGGGCAGCGCTACCGGGGGGGCGAGCGGGCACCGGGCTGCGCGCTGGAAAGGGGAGGGAGGGAGGGGGGGGCACCGTGCAACGGGCAGCGCTGCGGGCGGGGGGGGGGCGGGGGGGCGTTGTGCCCGGTGCCCCCCATAGGGTGAAGCCCCCCCCGTGCCCCCTCCGTCCCCCGCGGTGCCCCCGTTGCGCCGCTGAGCCCGGGCAACTCGGCGCACTTGTGGCCTCCCCGCGCTGCGCGCCCCGGGCCGGATCCTGCCGAGGTGCGCCGGCAAGGACGGGGGGTGCTTAGCCCCGGGGGGGGGGCTCCGCGATGGGGACCCCCCCCACCACACCACCACCACCACCACCCTCGGCCGCCCCGCTGCGGGCTCGGGCTCGGGCTCACGGCCGCGGGGGGCTGCATCGAGCCCCGTGACCTGATTGCGGGAGCAGCCCCGGGGAGCAGCCCCGGCGCTGCGCAGCACCACCGGCAGGATCAGGGCCCCCCCCCCCCCCCGGTACATGACCGCTCCGTGCGCCCCCGGCACCGTCCCCGCACCCCCAGCACCTCCCTCGGTGGCCTCGGCGGTGCGGCCTGACCCCGCTCCCCCCCGCACCCCGCACTCCGCTGTGGGGTTGGGGAGGGAATTTATTGGGAATTTATTGGGTGCCCCCCCCCCCGGCTGCCTCCGTGACCTTGGGCGAGTCCCCCCGGCCTCCCCGCGGGGTGCTGCGGTGCCGTCACCCCGCTGCTGGGCGCCTCCGGGAGGGAGCGGGTCCTGGGGGAGCCCCACGCGGCTGAGGGGCCAGGAGCTGTCCCCCCCCTGGGCTGTAGGGCTGGGGGCGTGGGGAGATGTCCCCCCCCCCCTCCCAAAGCAGACAGCAGCTCCCTGGAGCTTGGTGCGTGGGTCAGGTCCTGGCGTGGCCCCGGGGTGCTCCCCAGCCCCATGGGCTGCACGGCTGGGAGCGCACCCCCCAGTCCCACATCCTATACCCCGCATCCCACACCCCACATCCCAAACCCTGCTCCAAAACCTGCGCCTATGTCCCCAACTCCCACTGAGGCTGGCGGGGAGGCCCTGCGTGCGCTTGAGCTCCCCATCATGAAATTCGCCCTGCGCTGTGGTTTTTGCCCCTCTCCCCCTGCTGAATCTCCCCCCGGAGCCTGGCGCCGTCCTGCAGCCACCAGCACCCACCTCGGGCAGGATCAGCCCCGGGATGTGGAGGGGGATCTGGGCAGCCAAACCCCCCTTTGGAAGGGATTTTGGGTTTTCCCTGGTGAAAGTGCACGTGGGGGGTGCCAGCCATGCCTGCGCGCTCGGTGCCCTGCCTGTCCCGTGGGGACGTTGCCCACGAGTTTTCTCCCCGGAGAAGAAAGGAGAAAAATGACACGGGGGAATGGCCGGGAAATTGTGTTGGTGGCTCCGGAGCGGGTCCCCAAATGTGCTCCAGCCATCAGAGAGTGGCACCTTCCTCCTCCCTGCCCTCCTGAACTCCAGGAGTGGGACGGTGGCACGGGGCGCCCGGTGGTGGCACGGGGTACCCGATGGTCATGGGGTACCCGATGGTCACAGGGTGCCCAGCGGTTTGGGGAGCCCTGGGGAGGGTGCAGGTGCCCCAGCACAGGTGCTGTGGAGCTGGGAGGTGCGGGAGGAGGAGGAGGAGGAGGAGGAGGAGGATGGTGCCAGCGCCGCGCGTGTGTTTGGCTTCGTGGCTTCCCGGCTGGCAGGCTGCTGGCGGCGGGGAGCGACTGAGTGGGAGAGTGGTGGCTGCGCGGCGAGGCTGCGGCGGCTCCCGCAGCGGCACGGCGTGGGGCAGGCAGTGGTGTGGGGGCACCGACTTTGGGGCTTCCAGCTGCCCCGGGGACGCCCCCTGGCCATACCCGTGCCATATCCAGCAGCTTGACCCTGAGAACACCGGCTTCATCGGCGTGGAGACGTTCGCCAGCCTCGTGCACAGCCATGAGCTGCCCCTGGACCCCGCCAAGCTGGACATGCTGGTGGCCCTGGCACAGGGCAACGACGAGGGGCAGGTCTGCTATCAGGAGCTGGTAGACCTGGTCAGTGCCGGGGCGAGGCGGGCACGGGGACGGGGACGGGAGCGTGGGTGGGTGCCACCCCGCGTGCCACCGGGGCCGGGCCCTCCCGTTGGGCTGGGGTGGGCACCGGGGGCCTCCCGGTGCGAGCCGGGACCGGGCGCCCCGCAGCTCCCGGCGGCGGCCACGGGCTCTCTCCGCAGATCAGCAGCAAGCGTTCGAGCAGCTTCAAGCGAGCCATCGCCAACGGGCAGCGAGCCCTGCCCCGGGATGGGTTGCTCGATGAGACCGGCCTGGGCTTCTACAAGCGCTTCGTCCGCTACGTGGCCTACGAGATCCTGCCCTGCGAGATGGATCGGCGCTGGTACTTCTACCAGCACCGCACGTGTCCCCCGCCCGTCTTCATGGCAGCCGTCACCCTCACCCAGGTGGGGGCTCGGCGGGTGGGATGAGCCTGGCATCCTGGTGTCCTTGGGGGGCTCACACTGGGGGTGGAAGGGGACGGGTGACGCTGGTTGTGGTGTCCCCGTGCCTACGGGAGGCTCCGACCTGGGGCAGGCGGGATGGGTGACAGCAGTTGGGATGTCCCCAGTGCCCCGCACCTGGCTGGAGGGATTTGGGCAGGGGGTGGTGGTGACAGCCCCGTGGTTCCCCGCAGATCATCGTGTTCCTGTGCTACGGCGCCCGGCTGAACAAGTGGGTGCTGCAGACCTACCACCCTGAGTACATGAAGAGCCCCCTGGTTTACCACCCCGGGCACCGCGCCCGCGCCTGGCGCTTCCTCACCTACATGTTCATGCACGTGGGGTGAGTCCCTGCCGTCGGCACGGCTCTGCCAACCCGGGGTGCCCGGGGATGCTGGCACAAACCAACGTGTCCCCTGGTGTCCCCCGGTGTCCCCCGGTGTCCCCCCCGCAGGCTGGAGCAGCTGGGGTTCAACGCCCTCCTGCAGCTGATGATCGGGGTGCCGCTGGAGATGGTGCACGGCATCCTGCGCATCAGCTTCCTCTACCTGGCCGGCGTCCTCGCAGGTGGGCGAGCGCCCGCGCCGGTCCCCAACGTCCCCGCTGTCCCCAATGTCCCCGCTGTCCCCGCAGCCGGCAGGGGTGGGGCTGGGGGGAGTCGCGGAGCCCCCCCCTGACAAGGCGCCGTGCCGCAGGCTCCCTCACCGTCTCCATCACGGACATGCGCGCGCCCCTGGTCGGTGGCTCGGGGGGGGTCTACGCGCTCTGCTCGGCTCACCTCGCCAACGTCGTCATGGTCAGCGCCGGGGGGGGCACCGGGGAGTGGGATTGTGGGGTCAGGCATTGCGGTGCAAGACTATGGGGCGGGTGTTTTGGGGTGGTTTCTGTGATGCGAGATTGTGGGGTGGGCGCCGTGGTGAGAGGTTGTGGGGCTGCGCCATGGGGTGGGCGCCATGGGGTGGGCGCCATGGGGTGGGCGCCATGGGGAGGGCGCCGTGGGGTGAAATTGGGGAGGGGTCATCTCGGGGTGGGCACCGTTCCCATGGGAGCCGTGGGGTGGCACTGTCATGTAGGGTGATGGGGTGGGAAGCGTGGGTTGTGTGACGGGGTGGGCATCATGGGGTGGGAGCTGTGAAGTGAAACTGCAGCGTGGTCATTTTGGGGTGGGCACCATGGGATGGGCACCATGGTCTGAAACTGGGGGGGGCTGCATCATGGGGTGGGCATCACGGTGTGGGATTTGGGGTGGGCACCATGCTGGGTCACAGGGGGCGAGCACGGTTTGGGTGCTGTGGGGTGGCTCTGTGGGGGGAGCCCCTTGGGGTGGCATCATGGGGTGGGTGTGGAGCAGGGACGGAGGCGCTCCATGGGGACAGGACCCTTCCATGGGGGGGCTCAGTGTCCGTCCATCTGTCCGTCCGTCCGTCCGTCCGCAGAACTGGGCCGGGATGCGCTGCCCCTACAAGCTGCTGCGGATGGTGCTGGCGCTGGTGTGCAGTGAGTACGGGGACGGGGACGGGGACCCGGTGCCGGGCCGCGGTGCCACCCATGGGCGCTGCCTTGCAGTGAGCTCGGAGGTGGGTCGCGCCGTCTGGCTCCGCTTCTCGCCCCCGCTGCCGGCTTCGGGCCCCCAGCCCAGTTTCATGGCCCACTTGGCGGGGGCCATCGTGGGCATCAGCATGGGGCTGACCATCCTGCGCAGCTACGAGGAGAGCCTGCAGGACCAGTGCGGCTGGTGGGTGGTGCTGCTCTCCTACGGCACCTTCCTGCTCTTCGCCGTCTTCTGGAACATCTTCGCCTACGACCTGCTGGGGGCACAGATCCCCCCCCCGCCCTAATGCCCTAATTCCCCCCCCCCCCCCAAAAAAAATAGCACCCCCCCATGGGCCGGAGCCCGGTGGAATGGGGGCCCCGCGCGTGATACGGGGACAGGGTCGACCCCCCCCTGCCCCTTCGGTGCTAGCGACCGCGCCGCCCCCCCGCGGGCACCCCGGCAGCCCCCCCTTTGCCCCCCCCCTGGTTGAACGAAGCCGCCCCCTGGGGGTGTGGGGGGTGGGGGGGGCACCAGTGCGACCCCCACCCAATTGAGGGGGGGTCCCCGCGTGCCTCCCCGCAGCCCCTTTCCAGGTTCCTCCGGGCCTGGGGGCCTGGCTCGTGCCCCCCCCCGCGCCCCCCCCCCAGAAGGGAATTGCACTTTGACGCCGGGAGCGATTTTATTTTTCTACCCAAAGAAGCAGCGGAGCGGCGGGGGGGGGGTGTGTGGGGGGGGGCAAGCAGCGTGACCCCCCCAGGACCCCCCCAACCCCCCCCCGCGGTGTGTGTGTTGTGGGGGGGCTCGGGGACCCCCCCCCTCTTCCCCCCTTAACCCCCCCCTCTGGTTTTTGGAGTACAAATAAATATTTTGCACACGGCCGGCGCTCTGCGGGGGGGGGGGGGGCGGGAATTAGTGGAGGGGGGGGGCAGCTTAATGATGCCGCGCTGCGCTAATTAGGGACGGGTCTTATTAGGGGGGGGGTCTTATTAGGGGGGGGGTTTATTAGGGAGGGGGAGAGAGAGGGAGGGACTCGGGGGGGGGACGCGCGGGTGGCGCGGGAGGGGGGGAGCGGCGCGCGCTGCGGGGGGCGCGCCAAAATTGGCCACGCCCACTATGAGGTCACCGCCCACCCGCGTGGCCACGCCCACATCCCACTAAGCCACGCCCACCTCCCGCTTAGCCACGCCCACCAATGATGACCACGCCCACCAAGGTTAACCACGCCCACCCGCCTGCACCGTCCAATCCCATAGGCCCCGCCCGCCCGCCTAAGCCCCGCCCACTCCCCCGCCCCCTTAAAAAGCCCCGCCCCCCGGAAGTGACGCGGAGGCGGCGCTGTCGCAGTGCGCGGCCGCAGCAGGAGCGGAGCCGGCGGCCCCCGGCGGGCGGCAGGGCCGGGGCCGGGCCGGGCCATGAAGGGGAAGGAGGAGCGGGGGGAGGGCGGCGCGGCGGGGCCCGGGGGAGGCGGAGGAGGCGGGGGGGGCTCCTCGGCGGCAGCTACGGGGCCGGGAGCCACGGGGGGAGGCTGCGGCGGAGGAGGAGGAAGCCCGGAGAAGAGCTACAGCGCGCAGGAGCACAAGGAGCAGGGCAACCGCCTCTTCGGGGGCCGCAAGTACCCCGAGGCCGCCGCCGCCTACGGCCGGGCCATCGTGAGTGAGACCCGAGACCCCCCCCCCAACCCCCTGGCACCCCCCCGGCAGCACCGGGCCTGCCCCAGCCCCCCCCCATCCCGGGGTGTCCCCCAAATGGGTGCCCCCCCCCCCCCCCATAGGGAGATGTGGGGCTGGTGGGGGGGGGGGGGCAGCGCCCTAGGGTGCCCCAAGGGTGCCCCAAGGGCTGAGCGGTGTGGCCGTGCCCCACAGAACCGCAACCCCTTGGTGGCCGTGTACTACACCAACCGGGCGCTGTGCTACCTGAAGATGCAGCAGCACGACAAGGCGCTGGCGGACTGCAAGCGGGCGCTGGAGCTGGACGGGCAGTCGGTCAAGGCGCATTTCTTCCTGGGGCAGTGCCAGATGGAGATGGAGAGCTACGACGAGGCCATCGCCAACCTGCAGAGAGGTGAGCGGTGGTGGGGTTGGGGTGGCTGCAGGCACGCGGCCCAGGCTCTGAGACGTGCCCGGTGTCTTTTTTCCCCACCCCCAGCCTATAACCTCGCCAAGGAGCAGCGGCTGAACTTCGGGGACGACATCCCCAGCGCGCTGCGCATCGCCAAGAAGAAGCGCTGGAACAGCATCGAGGAGAAGAGGATCAACCAGGAGAACGAGCTGCACTCCTACCTGACCAAGCTGATCATGGCAGAGAAGGAGAGGTAACGACAGCCGGGGGTCCTCACCGCACCCCCTCGGCTTCCCGCACGGCTGAGCCCAAAGGTGTGGATGTGCCCCATGTGGTGGGAGAAGCAGCGAGCTGCTGGAAAGATCTTTCGGGGCTGGGCCAGCGATGGCATCCCCGTCACCGCTTCTGCTGCCTGCCCTGACATCTCCTGCCTCTGTCCTAGGGAGCTGGCCGAGTGCCGGAAGACTCAGCAAGAAGAAAGCGTGGACGAGAGCCGGAGCCGCGTTCAGCTGGCCGGCATCGAGGCCAAGCACGTGAGTGGCCGTGCGGGCACAGGGCAGGCAGGAGGGATCCCAGGCTCCCCCAGGTGCTGCTCCCTCCGTCCTTGGCTCAACGCAAGCTGCTGCTGAGGGCTTTTGTCCCCCTTGCGTGTCCCCCTGTGGCAGCGGTGACACCGCCGTGCCCTGATGGATGCGGTCCCCGTGGGTCCTCGATGGCTTCACGATGCGAGCGGCTCCTGCCCGCTGCGGCCGCGTGTGGGTCCGCGTGGTGTCCCGGAGCAGGGACTAATCCGGGGATAAAAATAACCCCGTGAAGGAGGGTTATTTTTAAGCTGGATCACTTCTGCCACACGGTTCAACCGCGAGGGTTGGGAAACGGGGGCTGGGATCCCATGGGGCTGCCCCGGGACCTGTGGCCAAATCCATGCCCCCGCTGGCTGTGGGGTCGTGCCTGCGTGGGGCAAGCTGGGTCTTCCTCTTTCAGGACAAGTACCTGGCAGACATGGACGAGCTCTTCTCGCAGGTGGATGAGAAGAGGAAGGTGAGTGTGCCCCGGCTCCCTGCCCTCCCCAGCCCGAATTGCTTGCCCTAACCCCCTTCAGTCCCTCCTCCCAAACCAGCCCTGGGACAGCGCGCTGGGGCCAAGCCCCTGTCCGAGGTGTGCAGCTGCTTGCGCCCTCGCTCAGCGCCGCCTCTCAGCGCTTTTTAATTCCGAGGCTGCGTTTACCCGGCCCCTCCTAACCCGGCTCTGCGTCTCTCGAGCCAGAAGCGGGACATCCCCGACTACCTGTGCGGGAAGATCAGCTTCGAGCTGATGCGGGAGCCCTGCATCACGCCCAGCGGGATCACGTACGACAGGAAGGACATAGAGGAACACCTCCAGGTACTGCTGGGGGCTGGGGAAAAACCCGGCCCCGTGCCCTCCTCGCCCTGGCAGCAGCAGGAAGCTCTGGGCTGGGTCGCCAGGCGGGTGCTTCGCTAGCCCAAGCGGCCGTGCTGCTGGCCCCGGGGCCGGGTATGCGGCGTAACCGGTTGGTGGCCACCTCCTCCCTTGCAGCGCGTGGGTCATTTCGATCCCGTCACGCGGAGTCCCCTGACCCAGGACCAGCTGATCCCCAACCTGGCCATGAAGGAGGTGATCGACGCCTTCATCTCGGAGAACGGCTGGGTGGAAGATTACTGAGGGGCCCGGGGGTCTCGCCGAGCCCCCTTTTTTTGGGATCTCCCCGCCGCCCTGGCCGGGCTGGCACCATGCCTTACTCCCTCCCTGCCTGTCCCCCTCCGCTCTGGGTGCCCAGGGACCCTTCGGCAGCGCTGGGCGAGGGCACGGGGAACCGCGGCTGGGCCGGTCTGAAGGCTTCTGCCCGTGGGGAGCGCGGTGCTCGGAGGAGCCCTGGCCAGCAGCATGGAGGAGGGTGGCTTGCGGCCTCCTGGAAGGGGTCGCCAACACCTTCATCGCCCGGAGAAGAGGGAAGGGACCCCCCCAGCGCTGACAATCTCCAAAGTTGCTCCCCCCACGGCAGGAGGCAGCGTGCTGGGGTGGGTGCCCGGTGCTCCGGCCAGGTCCCCTCCTCTCCCCCGTGTACATAGCAAATTTCCTCCTCGTCCAGCTCCCGTGGGGCCAGCGTGGTGTCTCCCCTCCCTCCTGTAAATAGCCACGTGCTGGGGTGGGAGCCAAGGGGGTGCTCTGCCCCTACTGCCTTGCCTTTGGGTTTTTTCTGGGGAACAACAGCCCCGGGGCTGGAAGGGGCTGGGGGTGCGCCCTCCTGCTGGCCCCGGGCCCGTGGTTCCCCTTGAACAAGCACCCGGGTTCAAGTTCATCTTCCTTTTAATGAAATCCCTTTGGAAAAAAAAAAAAAAAAAAAGAAACCAACTCCCCCCCCATCTGACTGAGGCTCCAGCATTGTGTGGGCGGCGGCAGCGCCTGCAGCCCGCCCGGCTTCCCAGCGCTCCGCCCGTTGGCCGATGTCAATAAAAAAATAAAAAAACCCAAAACCAAACCAAAACCATTCAGCAATAAAGGTGAGAAGAGCTCGCGTGGTTCCTGAAGCTCTCTGCGAGGGGCTGGGGGGGGGGGGTGCACTTTGTCCCCATCCTTTTGTGACAGTTTTGGTGTCATCGCTGGAGCACTGACACCAAAATTTTACTCCAAGGGGGAGTAAAAAAATCTGCAGGTGCTTGGTCCTGATACCGGTGTGGGTTTTTTTTTTGGGGGGGGGGTTCCGGTGCCCCCGGCGCTACCCCAGGAAGGTGGAGATGAAGACGCTGGTGTCCAGGTTGAGCGTGGCGTGCCACCAGCGGTCGGGGAAGTACAGGATCTGCGGGCAGAGCGCAGTGGGGTGGGGGCTCCCGGGGGTTTCCACCCCAAAACCAGGAGCTGCGCCCCCCCCGCCCTCCCCGTGGCCCCTCACCTCTCCGGGGCGCAGGGTGCACTCCAGCGGCCGCTCGGCCGGCGGCAGCGTGGGGTAGGTGCGCTGCAGCCAGGCCAGCGTCGTCTCGTTGGGGTGGAAGTGTGGGGTTTTATCCGGCGGGTACAGAAACCAGCGCTGGGAAACACCACAAAGCCTCAGCTCCCCCTCCCCAAATCCCCCTGGGGGGGGGTTTCCAGCCTCCAGCACCCCCCTCCTCGCTCACCTTCCTGCCGAAAATCACCTCGGAGTAACCGGGGCCGTGCCAGTGGAAGGGGACTCCTGAACCCGAACCTAGGGAGGGAGCGGGTGCTGGGTGACACCGGGGCTGCGTGCGCCCCCCCAGCTGAACCCGCAGCCCCCCCATGTGGCCCCCACCTCCGATCCCAAAGCTGTAGGCGCTGCTGGTGCCGGGGATGCGGAACGGCGGAGGGACGTACTGCTGGAAGAGGGGACCCCACTCGGTGAAGTTGTTGTCCCCGAAGAAATAGAGGGTGTCTGTGGGTGCCAAGTTTTAGGGTTAGGGTTTGGGTTAGGGTTTGGGATGGGTTTGGGGTCGCGCTACCCACCGCTGCCCAGCGCCGTCGGGTCCTGCGGCTTCAGGAGCTGCTCCACGTACTCCTGGAAGGGGACGTCCACTGCGGGGAAGGGGGCAGAGCTCAGCGAGGAGCCTGCCCGGGGACCACCGGGGTGGGGGTGGTGGTAATAGGGGCGAGCACCCCACAGAGCCCCCCAGCCCCTCACCTTTGCGGTAGGAGTAGGTGTTGGCCGTGCTGAGGCGCACCCGGCGCTGCCCGTAGGCGGCCAGCAGCTTGTCGCGGGTGCACAGCGCCCGAAATGCCTGCGGGGGGGGGACACCAGGATGGGGGGGGGGACAGCGGGACGGGTGCTGCTGCCACCCCGCTGCCCCCACCCCCCCCATGGTGTCCTCCCACCCCCCGTCCCGGTGCCCGGCGCTCACCGAGTTGTCCGTGACCCCGCGCAGGATGACGGGCTGTGAGAAGGCGAATCTGGGGGAGGGGGGGGCACAAATGGGGGGGGGGGTCCCAGGGGGAACCATGGGGCTGGCACCAGGATGCCCCCACTTGGAGAACCCCTGAGACCCCGATCCAGGACCCCCCCCCAGAGACCCCTCACCCCCGGATTCCCCCCACTCTCGGACCCTTCCCCGAGGCCCCTATCCCAGGGCACCCCCTGGACCCCCCCACCCCGGGACCCTCCCTGCGGTCTGTGCCCCCCCGGGTTCCCCTCCCCATGACCCCCCCTGAGACCCCCATGCTGGGATCCCCCTGGGACCCTCCCCAAGACTCCCTGAGACCTCTCCCTAGGATCCCACCCCCCGAGACCCCCTGCCCTGGGTTCCCCCCCCAGGACCCCACCCCCAGAGACTCTCCCCGGGCTCCATCCCCCCCACGGGGTCCCCCTCCCCAGTACCTCCCTGAGACCCCTCCTCGGGGTCCCCCTCCCCTCTGTGCTCCCCCCCGAGACCCCCAACCTTCAACCCCCCTGGGACCCTCCCCCCAGGGTCCCCTCCCCAATACCTCCCCAAGACCCCTCCCTGGGGTCCCCCCCCCACTCTGTGCCCCCCCCCCAAGGCCCCCAACCCGGGACCCCCCTGGGACCCTCCCCTCAAGAGTCCCTTCCCCAAGACCCCCCCCGAGACCCCCTCCCGGGCGCCCCCAATAACCCCCCCTCCCCCCCCAAGACCCCTCCCTAGGGTCCCACCCCCCCGAGGCCCCCCCAGGACCCCTCCCTCGAGACCCTCCCCAGGTGTCCCCCACCCCCCCATGTCCCCCTCCCCAATACCTCCCCAAGACCCCCGGTGTCCCCCCTCCCCCCTCCCCCCCGTGTGCCACCCCCAGGCCCCCCATCCCAGAACCCTCCCCAGGACCCCCCCAGGACGCCCCTAAGCGCCCCTCCCCCAGGGTCTCCTCCCCAATACCCCCCCCAAGACCCCTCCCTAAGGTTCCACCCCCCCGAGACCCCCCCCGGGGCCCCTCCCTCGAGACCCTCCCCAGGTGTCCCCCACCCCCCCCATGTCACCCTCCCCAATACCCCCCTAGACCCCCAGGGTCCCTCCCCCTCCGTGCTCCCCCCCCTGCGCCCCCCATCCCAAAACCCTCCCCAGGACCCCCCTAACCCCCCCTTTCCCAGTGTCCCTTCCCCAATACCCCCCCCCAAGACCCCCTCCTTAGGGTCCCACCCCCCCGAGACCCCTAACCCGGGACCCCCTGGGACCTTCCCCCCAGGGTCCCCTCCCCAATACCCCCCCCCGAGCCCCCCCTCCCTAGGGTCCCACCCCCCCGAGCCCCCACTCGGGACCCTCCCCGGGCTCCATCCCCCCCAGGGTCCCCCTCCCCAATACCTCCCCGAGACCCCTCCCCAGGGTCCCCCTCCCCTCTGTGCCCCCCCCCCGAGACCCCCCCGGGCCCCCCATCCCAGAACCCTCCCCAGGACCCCCCCCCGGGCCCCCCCAAGGACCCTCCCCCCGGGGTCCCCTCCCCAATACCCCCCCCAAGACCCCTCCCTAAGGTTCCACCCCCCCGAGACCCCCCCCAGGACCCCTCCCTCGAGACCCTCCCCAGGTGCCCCCTCCCCACGATCCCCCCAAGACCCCCGGTGCCCCGCCCCCCACCGTGCCCCCCCCCCCGCGCCCCCCATCCCAACCCCCCCCCAGGACCCCCCCAGAACCCCCCAGGACCCCCTTAACCCCCCCTAACCCCCCCTCCCCCAGTGCCCCCTCCCCAATACCCCCCCCAGCCCCCTCCCTATGCTCCCACCCCCCCCGTACCCCCCCGGTTCCCCCCCCTGGTGCCCCCCCCCCACCCCCCCGGTACCGCTTCAGGAACAGCTCCGCGCTCAGCGCCGCGTCCGCGGCCTGCACCGTGCAGCGGGGCTCCTCCGGCACCGCTCCCGCCTGCCTGCAACGGGACAGCCCCCCCCCGGCTCGGTCCCGTGCCCCCCCGTTTCCCCCCCCCACCCCCCCCAGGCCCCGCTCCTCACCAGCCGCCCCCCCCCGGCCCCGCGCCGCCCCCGGGCCGGGCCCAGGCCAACGGGCCCAGCAGGGCCAGCAGCCAGAGCGCCATGGGACTACAACTCCCAGCCTGCACCGCGGCTCCCCGCGGGGAGGGCTTAAAAGGGCAATGGGCAGCGGAGAAAAGGTGGGGCCCACAAGGGGAGATCGATGTGGATCCCAATAGGGACCCCCCCATCCCAATGGTGGTCGTCTGGGGGGGGTCAGGGTGGAGCAGTGCTAGGGAGGCGTGGGGTGGTGGATGGGATTTTCTGGCTTACGGACCTGTGTATAACCGCACAGCTAAGAAAAAACGGAGTGGTTAATGTATATAATGCATATAATGTATATTTTGTATATTTTTGTATATAATGTATATAATGTATATTTTATAATATGCATTTAATCCGTCTGTCTTGCAAAGGAATGGGCCAGCAATTCGGGTCAATTCGTTCCCTTGAATATATAGGGAAATGTATTTGTAGGTTTTTTCTTGGAGTCTCTGATATCTGTTGGGGTTTCAGAATAACTGCTCACTATTATGACTTGCATGGGACGCTACGCAAGTCTCTGATACCTGGCCAGGGGATTAATGAGACAGGGAGAGCTGAAGAACAACTAAAAAACAACAAAAACGACTAAAAGACAAAGCTTGCAGGGGATGCTGCACAAGTCTCTGACATCCAGGCATGTTGGACAAAGAAGGACAAGAGGGAGGAAGACTGTGAGCCTTCAGCATGAGACCCCCAGAGGGACCACCGGAGACTGATGCGCATGCTCCAGTTTTGGGTTTGGATTCCAGAAACTAATTATAATAACCCTGTTTTTTTTAGTAGTAATGAATATGTATCAGCCTAGGAGCATAAAAACCAGCTGCTTGCTGGAACTGGTGTGCGTCCTGGTGGAGCAGAGCCTCCCGGCGCACCCAGCGCTGTTTGCTTACCTCTATTCCCTTAATAAATTGTAAACTTTGATTATAATCCTATTTTGAAGACTGAGCCATTTATTACAGGGCCACCCCAAGGGGGCTGAGCAAGGCCCCACGGTCCCCAAGCACAACCCCCACGAAGCCCCCATGCAGCTGCGAAGCAATAACAGGAGGCTCGAGGCTGGTTTGGTTTAATTCAGTACAAAACGGCACGCGCAGGGGGACGGGGAGCCCCCCAAATAAATAGGATCCTGTACGCAGGATCCCCCCAAAATAAATACACACAAATACACGGGGAGTTGTTCCCCAACCTGCTGTGGCACCGGTGCTGGTGGCGGGGCTCAGGTGTACTCGCAGAGGTGGCCGCAGCCCGCGGGGCAGTGGGAGCTGGTCTCCAGCCACTTCATGATGTGCTGCAGGTGGCCGCCGTGGCTGCAGCCCTGGCACCAGACGAAGAGCCCCTTCACCACGTGGTGGCACACGGCGCACATGCTGGCGCACTGCCGGCACCTGCGGCGGAGAAATGGGGTGAGAAAAAGCCAGGAAAGGCTCCCGGGGGGATGCAGAGAGGGAATGGGGTGCGGGGACCAGCCCCATCCTGCTGGGTGCTGCTGCCCCGGAGAGGGACCCCGGAGAGGGACCCCGGAGAGGGACCCTGGAGAGGGACCCCGGAGAGGGACCCCCCAGCTCCCACCCTCACCGGTCGCAGATCCAGCCCCTGTTGCTCATGGGCCTCTTGCAGTTGCTGCAGTTGATGTGCAGGGTGGTGGAGGCTTGGTTGAGGCAGTTGATGGCGCGGCAGGTGCTCAGCTTGATCACCTCGTTGGAGATGTTCCAGAGCTGGAAGCGTTGCAGCAGGTCGATGTAGGAGGTGTACCAGTGCTCCTGGGGGTGGCACGGCGCAGCTCAGCCCCAGCTCCCAGGGACAGAGCCCCGCAGAGGGGGCCAGCCCCAAAAACGGGGTCGGTCCTTGCCCAAGGACCTCACACCCAGCGAGGAAGAGGCCATGGGTTTGGGTTTGGGTTTGGGTTTGGGTTTGGCCGTGTACCTGGGTCTGCTCGTCGATCTCCTTGCGGATGCGGTCGCCCAGCACGATGAGCACGGACACGGCCGTCTGCACGTCCCCCTGCTCGGCGTAGAAGAGCAGTGTGTCCCGCACGATGGGGTTGAAGAAATCGGAGGGCAGGCGGTTCTCGTAGAGCGAGTGGGAGATGGAGATGAGCGAGAAGGACTCCACGGGGGTCAGCGACACCGTCTCTGCCTCGTTGCCGCTGACGTGGGGGGAGTCAGCCTTGTCCTGCAGGTGGTCCAAGGCCGATGATGATGGGTTGTCCACAATTTCGTGGCGCAGAGGGAAAGCCTCCTGGGGAAGGCTGTATTCCTGCTCCTCGGCTGCAAGGAAAAACATTTCCGAGGTCAGGAACGAGAGCACAAAGCTGGGAGAAGATCCGGGCACGTGGCCGGGACCGGCACCACGCTCACCGTGCGGGTTCTCGTGGTCCATCATGTACAGGTCGTCCTCATCCGCTTCCACGTCCCCCAGCAGGTAGTCAGCAGGGACATCGCTGCCCTCCGTCTCCTCGTTGTCTGTGTGCCCAGGGAGAGGGGGGGTCAGCACAGCCCCCTCGGGGGGGGTCACAGGGGGTAAATCGCCCATCTGCTGCCCCCCGGAATGAGCACGGCCTCGTTCATCCGGGACTGTGCCACCAGGGATCAGCTGAGGACAGCCCCAGGACTGTGCCAAACCCCCCCCCCCAAAAAAAAACACTACCTTCGTTGTTGATCAGCGTGGAGGAGGAATCCAGCAGGATGTTTTCCGTGCGGCTTTCCCCTTTGCTGCGATCCAGCCTCGACTCGCTGCCCAAGCCGGAGGGGATGTCCTTCAGGTTGAAGCTGGAAAAGAAGCCGTGCGCTCAGCTTAAAGCTTCCAGCTCCTGCTGCAGCCAGCAGGCAGGCTGTTTGTTATGCGGTGCTGCTCGCCGGCTCCTCCGAGACAGGAGAGGAGCTGAGCGGAGCTGACGCGGAGCCGCCGTCTCCAGCTCGTGCTCGTGGTTTGGAGCTGGTGCCAGGCGGTGACCCGGCTGGCTGCGGAGCTCGGTGGATGGCAGGGCTTTGTTTGGTGTTATTGGAGTCTCCGCCGCTCAGCCCCTGAGGGAACCCAGCCCTGCAAGGTCTGAGAGCTCATCTGGAGCCCTCGCTCTTTCATGTGTCATTCGGAAGAGGAAAAGCAAGTTCTGCCTCGTCAGCCCACGGCGGGGCTCTCCACGCCAGCGAGCGGAGCAGAGCTGCCCTCTCCCTCTCCAGCAGCCAGCCAGGGGCTCTGCGTCCCCAAAGCAGGGTCACAGCCCCGGTTAGGTGACTGCAGACACCAAACCAGCCTCGGGCCCACCACAGCCAGCTTCAAACACCGCTCCAGAGAGGGGAAGGAGCAGCACAGAAGCCTGCGTGGCTCGGGGCCAGGCTGCCCGCCCGCTCCTCACACCCACACAGAAAACGCCCGCACTCAGACGCCGCCAACCTGCAGAGCAGGGCGAGCTGAGGCCGGGGCTCTGAGGCTCCAGGAGCTGCTCTGGGCATCCCTTACCTGTTCATGAGGGGCAGGGCGGCGCTGCCTTTCCCCATGCTGTGGTTGAGGTTAGCGGACGACACGGTGCCGAGGCTGGAGTAGATGATGCGCAGCATCGTCCACGTCTGAGCCACCTGCGGGACAGCCACCGTCAGACCTCACCTGCTCCAAGCAGCGCACCAGACTCTGAGTCTGAGCAGATTCGGTCTGAGCACACAGGATTTGTGCTTGCTGTAGCGCTGTGGGTGAAGGGAAACCTCCCAGGGACAGCCGTAGGGCAGAGGGATGGGATATCAGGGAGGGGACAGCACCCCCCTGACAGCACCCTCCAGCCCCACGCCTGCGCCGTGCGCTCACCTGGTTGCGGTCCAAGCCCTTGGCCACCTTGGCGTTGTGGTCACAGAGCTCGGCCAGCGGCCGGCCGGCCAGCGCGTACTGCTTGGCGGTGTGCACGAACCAATCCATGCTGCCGCTCTCCACGTCCGTCTCGAAGACGCTGAGGGCGCTGGAGGAGGAGATGTACTCGAACTGCTCGGTGGGGTCCAGCTTGCGCTTGAAGAAGATGGGGTGGCGGCGGTCGCCGATGTAGGGCTTGCGGTTGGAGTCGGAGGAGATGAGGCTCTCCTTGGCCGCGAAGGCCAGGTCTCCGTAGAGGCTGTAGCACAGCCCCTCGGGGTTGGCGCGCTCGATGGGCTGGCTGGCGTCCTTGAAGATGTGCTGGTAGAGGGTGCTGTCCTTGGAGCCGGACAGGAGGAAGTAGGGGTCGTGGAGGTGGCGCCAGACGATGCCCGTGGTGACGTCCTTGTGCTCCTCGAACATGGCCGAGGGGATGAAGGGGCGCCGCACGTCCCAGACGTAGATGTTGTGGTCCACCATCATGGAGCAGGTGGCGATGTGGTGCTTGCACTCCGGCCGCCACTTCACCCGGGCCACGGAGGCGATGGTCTGCACGCAGTAGATCTCCTTCGCCCGCGTGGTGTTCATGTCCCACACCTTCACCATCTTATCCCGGCCGCCCGTGGCCAGCCAGCCCCTGCGAGAAGGACGGGGAAAGAGGCTGAGACACCCGCGGGAGGAGTCACAGCGGGACGCGAGGAAGGTGCCACAGCACCGGCTGCGCCCAGCTCCGTGGACACAACTATTTACAGACACCCCCATGACCCTGGCACCAGACTGGGCATACCCAAGCATTAACAGTGCTCAGGAAGCCCTGGCACGTCAAAAACACAACCAAAACCCACACCTCCCTCTCCATCTTCGAGAAAAAGTACCAACTGCCCCCATCTTCGAGCAACAGCACAGAGGCCAGGGTGTCGGAGACCCTGCTTTCCCTTGGGAACCCATTTTTTGGGCTGTCTGCCCTCTGTGGAGACCGAGCACCCACCGGTCCTCGGGGTGCCAGTCGCAGCAGAAGACGGGGCCGTTGTGGGCCGTGAACATCCTCTCGTAGCGGTCGGGCCGGCGGATGTCCCACAGCTGCACGTTGCCGTTCTCAAAGGTGGCGGCGAAGGTGAAGTAGTCGCGGATGCTGAACTGGACGTCGCGCACGCTCTCCGACTGGCCTGGGCGGGGAGAGGAGGGGAGAAGCGATGGGACAGAGCCCTGGGAGAGGTCCCCAAGCAGGGACAGATGTGGCCAGCTTCAAACCAGCCTCAAGGAGCCCTCCTGAGCCCTCTCTGAGCTTCAAAAGCCCCTCGGCTCCCTCCCTGCCCTCTCCAAGCACCTCACCCTCCTCCTGGGTGCGGGGCGAGGGCAAAGACCCTGGTGGGGACAGCGAGGGGCCGGGTTCGTACCGGAGAAGGTGCTGACGGAGTCCTTCTTGCGCAGGTCGAAGCACTTCATGTAGCCGTCCTGCGAGCCGCTGAGCAGCATGTAGACCTCGGTGGGGTGGAAGCAGACCTTGTTGACCGTGCGCTTGTGCTCGGTGAAGAGCTGGTCCTGCTTGTTGCGCGAGGGCTTGCCCAGGTTCCAGGTGACCACCACGCCGTTGGTGGCGGCCGTGGCCAGCAGGTTCTCGTCCATCTGGTGCCACACCACGTCGGCGCAGCTGAAGTTGAGCGAGGGCTTGCGGCCCACCCGCAGGTTCAGCTTCTCCACGAACTGCTCCTCCTCGATGCCGTAGATCTTGAAGATGTTGCGGCCGGCCACCACCACCTGGGCGGCGTCGCGGCACACGCTGATGGCGTTGGCGGGGGCGTCCAGGTGGCAGAACATGGTGCGCCCCGACAACGCCGCGCCGCCCAGAGCCGCGCCCGACCGCGACATCTTCTCCATGGCCGGCCGGGACGCGGGGACCCCTCGGCGGGACGCGGGCTCCGAGCCTGGTGGCACCGCCGGTGGCATTCAGGCCCCGCAGGCCACCCTAAGCCACCTCGGCCCGGCCGCAACGAGCCCCGAGGGGCCCTCCCGGGGCTCTCCTGGGGTCTCCCCGGGGTCTCCTCGGTTGCCCCCCGGGGTCCCCCCGGCCCCGTTGAGCCCCCGCAGGCCGCAGCCAGGCCCCAGCAGCCCGGGCGCGGAAACGGCCGCCGCGCCCCGCCTCTCCCGCCAAGGCGCGCCACGCCCCTTTCCCGCCAAGCCGCGCCCTTTCCCGCCACGCCAAGCCACGCCCCCTCCCGCCAAGCCACGCCCCCTCCGCGACAAACCACGAGCCAGACCACGCCCCCTACACCGAGACCACCCGCGAGTCAGGCCACGCCCCCAGCGCCAGGCCACGCCCCCGAACCGCCCAGGCCACGCCCCCAGCACCAGGCCACGCCCCGAAACGCCCAGGCCACGCCCCCAGCGCCAGGCCACGCCCCCGAACCGCCCAGGCCACGCCCCCAGCACCAGGCCACGCCCCCCCGGCCCGGAGCGCGCGTTCCCGGGGATATGGGGAGGGGGCGCTGGGGTAGGGGGTGGGGGGTGCACGGGGGTTATGGGGGGGGTATGGGGAGGGGCTGGGGGGTGTACGGGGGGGTGGGGGGGCAGCAGGGGATGTGGGGGGCTCTGAGGGTTAATGAGGGTCTGGGGGTGCCCTGGGGGGTTTGGGGGGGCGCTGGGGGCACGGGGGGGGGTACGTGGGGAGGTTGGGGGGCACTGGGGGTTATGGGGGGGTGGGGAGGGCTGGGGGGCACTGGGGGTTATGGGGAGGGCTGGGGGGGCGCTGGGGGGAGTGATGGGGGTGGGGGGGGTGGAGGTGCTGTGGGGTGGATGTGGGGGGGGGGCTGTGGGTTATGGGGGATACGGGGGTGCCCTGGGGGTGTCGGGGGGTTGGGGGTGCTGTGGGGTGTACGGAGACGCCCCCACCCCATGCTGATATGGGGCTGCTCTCATCACCCCCTCCCCCAGCCCGGGGCACCCCGAGACCCCCCCCTGCTCCCACCTTGCCCCAAGACCCCCCCCGGGGGGCTGCGCCCAGCACCCCCCCGCCCCGACACCCCGGGGTGCCCCGGTGCGCCCCTGTCCCGCCACGATGTCCCCGGTGCTTTTTGGGGGCAGCCCCCAGCGGTGCCAGCAGCGCACCCCAGCCCCATCCCAGGGCCTGAATTTCGGAGCCGTTTTGGGGCCAAAACCGGGCGGTTTGGACAAAGGAGCGAGCGGAGGCGGCGGGTGGTGCAGCAGTTCCTTCCCGGCCCTTACAAAGGCAAAACAACCCGAAAGCGTGTCCGTGTCCGTGTCCGTGTCCGTGTCCGTGTCGTCCGTGTCCGTGTCTGTGTCCGTGCCCGTGCCCGGTGCCCGGCTCAGCCCTGCGCCCCCCCGGCCCCCCCCGCAGCACCTGGGGCACCCCGGGGTGCTGGTGGCACCCGGGCGATGGCTTTAGGTCTGGAAGAAGCGGCGGCGTGTCCCGAAGGTGACGTCCCCTGCCTTGGCGTGGCGTCACCGCCGTCCCCCCACCACCCGGGAGCCGCAGCAGGGCAAGGGGACGGTCCCCAAGCCCCCCCCCCCGGGGACCCCCCCGGGACGTGCCCGTCCCAGCCGGACGGGTCACAGCGCTGGGCACCGAGTGCCACGTCCCATGGGTGCACGCACAATGGTGGTGGCCCCTCGCCCCCCCCCGGCTCTCCCCAGGCAGTAACGGGGTGATGGCCCCAAAACTGGGGGGGGGGCATCACCCCACTGACCCCGGTGGAAATTGGGGTGCAGCGGCGGCGTCCTGGGGACTTGCAGGGGGGGCAAACGGGGTCACGGCCTGGCTGGCAGAGCCGTATGGGGGGGGGGGGCCGGGGGGCGGCAGGGTGGCGGGTGCCACTTGTCACTGTGCCCCCCCCGCCGTGCCACGAGACTGAAGCAAGCGAGAGCATGCGAGGGCGGAGGGAAGCATCCTATGGACGGGCAGGGCTGGGGGGGCCGGGGGCAGGAAAGGGGGGGGCGCACAGCACGGGGGGGGGTTGGCTCGTCTCTCGGATCCGGGGGTGCCTGTGGCTCTGTGCGGGGGTCCCGGGCACCCGTCCGTCCAAGCACCCATGGGTGCCAAAAAGAAGCCTCCTCCTCCTCCTCTCGCCGGGCCCAGGGCCCCTCGTCAGCAGCTGCGGTGGTGTTGGGTTGGGGGGGGGGATGCTGGCATCCGGGGGGGCGTCAAAGGAGGGCGGAGAGGGGGGGGGGTCTTTACACGTGGGTCGGTCGAATCGGCAGCGTCTCTTGCGTGTCCCCCCCCTCCCCAAATCCCGCAGAAATCAGCCGGGTGACGTCGGCCGGGCAGGCGCGGCTGGGTCTGGGGGGGGGGGCCGGTCCCCGGCGGGCGGGCGGGCGCTACTCGATGACCATGCAGCAGGGCAGGTGCTGGGAGAAGTACTTGAAGAGCTCGGGGGTGGCTCCGGGGCAGTTGGTGAGCTCCAGCTCCTCCAGCTCCTGCAGCTGCACCAGCCCCGACAGGCCCGTGGTGGTCAGCAAGGGGCAGCCTGCAAGGGGACAGTGCCACCGTCACCTCCCCGGCCACCCCCATGTGGGTGCCAAGGGGTTTGGGGGCATCCCTGGGCTGTAGGAGCCCCATGGTGCTGGGAAGGGGGTGCTGGGGGTCCCCAAGGGCTGGTCCCGTCCCCGTGCCCGTCCCCGTGCCCGGCCTCTCCATCCCCTCCCCGGTATCCCCGGTCTCGTGCTGGGGTCTCACCGGCGAGGGACAGGAGGCGCAGGCTGCCCATGCCCAGGAGGTGCTTCAGGCCGAAATCCTGCACCTGGAAGAGAAACGGGAGTGGGAGCGGGATGGGGGGAAGGCAGAGGTGCCAGAAATGGGGTACAGCATCCACGGCACCGGGGGCTGAGCCGGGGCGGGGTGATGGGATGGGGTGGTGGGATGGGGTGGTCGTGTAGGGTAATGGGTCAGGGTGGTGGGACAGGGTGATGGCACAGGGCAGTGGGACATCGTGGTGGGTCAGGGTGATGGGATGGGCTGATGGAACACTGATGGGACACTGGTGGGACACTGGTGGGACTGGGTGCTGAGGCAGGGTGATGGAGCCGAGTCCCGCTCAGCCCACAGGTGCCCCCCACCCCTCCCCGTGTTCCCAGCCCCATGTCACCCTTCCTACCCAGGGCTCTCCAACAGCCCCAGGACGCCCACCCCATGGAGCTCCCTGCCCCATCCCCATGCCAGTGCCACCTCCCTCCTGTCCCCTGCACCGGGCTCCCAGCCCCGTCCTCCCGTACCTGGCAGCACCAGCGCAGGTAGAGGCTCCGCAGGGACGACATGGTGGACAGGTAGCTGAGCCCGGTGTCGGTGATCCGCACACACCTGTGGGGACAAGGGACAAGGAGGTGGTGGGACACGGGACAAGGACGTGATGGGGACAAGGAGGTGATGGGGACACGGGACACGGAGGTGATGCGTCCCCGGACCACGGCCACCAGGCACGGCCCCGTACCTATCGAGCACCAGCTCCTCCAGCTTGTGCAGGTCGCAGGCGATGTACTCCAGGGCCATGTCGGTGATGCGAGGGCACCAGGACAGGTCGAGGCTGCGCAGCTTGCGCAGGTTCTCGGCCACCAGCTCCACGCCGTCGTCCGTCACCTTGGAGCAGCCCGAGAGGCTGAGGACGCTCAGGTTGGGCAGGCTGTGCACCATGTTGACCACGCCGTGGTTGGTGATCTCCCAGCAGGAGTTGAGGCGCAGGGTGTGGGTGGTGTAGCCCTGCTTGGCGGTGAAGTAGGCGAGCGCCGTGTCCGTCACGTGGTAGGCCTGCAGGTTGAGCTCGGCGAGGTTGGGCAGGAGCTGGGAGATGGCGGCGATGGCGTCGTCGGCCACGTTGATGCAGTCGCTGACGCTCAGCGCCGTGATGCGGGCGTTGAGGCTCGACCACAGCCCGGCCTCCGTGAAGTCGTTGCAGCCCGACAGCTCCAGCCGCACCACGCCCTGCATCTGCTCCAGCATCACCTGGTGGGGGGTGGGTGGTCAGGGCACCCCGTGTCTCCTCGGAGCCCCCCACAGCTCTTCCCCCTGCCCCAGCCCCGGCTGCACCATCAGCCTTCACAGTAAAGGCTGTAGGAGCGCCCGTGGGTGGCGGGGAGAACTCGCCCCCAAAATCTTGGGAGAGAAGCCCTGCACCCACCCAGCGCCCAGACCATGGGCAGGGGTCCAGGGACCAGCAGCATGGTGATGCCACCTGCCTGCTGGACGAGGTGGGTGCTGCCACCACGTAGCTGGGTGCACCCATGGGTGGTCTACACCCTTGGTGGGGCTGGAGAAAGTCCTCGCTGGTGCAGGCTGGAGCAGGTGTGTTCCCGGGTGCCACCGTGGTGGCAGAAAGGTTGGACCCGTTGTGTCACCGGGGTCCATCACCACATGGAGGGGAACCAAGCCTTGTACCCCCAAAACCTTGCCCCCCTTTGGGTGCAGCGGTTTGTAGGGCCAAACACTGGGGACATCCACGGGGACATCCCATCCACGGTGCCACTGACCCACATCTTACCCACCCCTGTCCCCGGGCACCTCTCTGTCACCAAGGCCACCTACCTCCAGCCCCGCGTCCGTGATGGTCGACCTCTTAAGGCTCATGGACTTGACCCCCTTCTTGGACAGGGGGTAGTTGTCAATGAACTCACAAATGTCCAGGTCAGAGACGCCCACGAGGCAGAAGCCGTCGAAGCCCCGCACGGCGAAACCCTGCAGGCTGACGAACTCCTTCTCGCCCCCGGGCAGGACGTTGTAGAGCTCTTTGGTGTGCAGGACGGGCGTCAGGCCCACCCAGAACTTGGGCTGGTAGAGCACCCGCCGCCACGCCTTGCACACCTGTGCCAGCACGCACTTCTCGCACGCCGAAAAGTACCAGAAGAGGCGGTTGAGGATCTTCTCGTCCACCGCCAGCTGCCTCTCCGAGGGCGAGCCGGGCAGCCGCTCCGGCGAGGGGTGCTCCGCGCCCGGGGCGGCCTCGCTCGAGTTCAGTCCCACCAGGGAGGCGCCGGGAGGGGACGAGACGCCGGCCAGAGCGGCCAGGGAGAGCGGTGAGGCCAGGCTGGGGATGGGCAGGTCGCTGCGGGGGGCTAAGGCCGGGCTGAGGATGGCAGGCACGGAGGAAGGCTGGCACAGGCGGTTTTTCACGGCGGGGGTGCCTTTGGTGATGCTGGCGGAGCCGAGGCCGTTGGGCTGCGTGGGGATCTTCACCAGTCCATTGCGGGGCAAACATGGGGGCTTGGTGTCGCCGTTTCTCGGGTTCGACATCTTCCACGGGTCTCTCTGCAACACAGGGGGGGTGTGAGTGGTGGCTGACCAGCACCGGGCTCCTCGGGAAGCATGGAAGGCATGGCCAGGACTGGGCTGGGGCTGGGGCAGTGGCAGAGCCCGCGCGTGCTGTGCTGGCAAGCCCGTGCCGGCCAGGCGCCGCGTCTCGCGGTGGCACCGCAGCAAACAGCCCGATAAATATTTCAGCTGCAGCGAGGCAGGCTTTCAAACGGCCCCGCCGCACCCCGCCATGCATTATTAAACACATTTCCCTCTATAAACACGGAGGTGAATAATTGATGGGGGCTCAGCCTCCTTCCCCCCCCCGCCCCTGGCCGGTGCCTGGCGTGGGGTCCCACCGGTGCCATGCCCGTTGTGCTGGCACCCTGCGCACCGCGCTCACCGGGGCCAAGCCCTGCCAAAGAACCGGGTCCTGTTCCCCCTGCAGGGCCCAGCTGGAGGGGACTGAGCCCTGGCAGACCGGGAGGAGCTGGAGCCCTTGGAAGGGACATTGTTGCCCCCAGGAACCAAGGGGTAAAAACCTTCATCTGGCTGGTGACCGATGGCACCAAGTGAGCAGCGTCCTGGCCGGTGAGCGTGGTGCTGATGGCCTGGGGCTGTCCCACCCTGGGGACAGCTGAGCCAGCCTCTGTGCTGCACTCTGACAGCCCCAGAGCACAAATAACCTCCCGTGCTGCCCCCAGCCCATCACCGTGAGCCTCACAGCATCTCCGTGCCCTGCTGGACCAGGCGGAGGGGAGCAGCCCCCCAAAACGAGCCCAGCAGCACGGGCAACTGCAAGCCGCATGGCTAGGGTGTGCAGCACCCCCAGCAGGATGGCAAGGCCGAGCTCCAGGCTTTGTCCCACACTTCAAGGGGCAGTTTTCTGCCCGTTTGCCCCACCGAGCCACTGGCTGGGTGGAGGGGAGGCAGGATGGCAGTGGCAGTGAAGGCGCGGGCAGCCCGTGTCCGCAGGCAGGCCGGCGCAGCAACGGTGGCATCGGCACCGCCAGAGCCTGTCCTCCGGGGACGGAGCCGGCCCTGTGCAGACAGCCTGGCGCCGCTCCCCTCTCGGATGCAGCCTCCGCTGCCTCCACTTACTCTGCCCTACAGAGGGTTTGGGGCTCTGATGCTTGGACATGTGCTAAATTTGCTTGAAAGCAGGAGAAGAGGAGGGGAAAAGGGAAAGAAACTTAAAACCAGTGGCTCCGAGCTTGGCAGCAATTAGGGAAGCAAACAGAACATGCACCAGGGTGTCTAACACAGCGCTACAACACAAATCAAAACAGATAATTACCACGTGGCACAGAAAGGCTGTCGCTCCGGCACAGAGCCCACAGCGAGAGCAATTCGCCATGCCGGCTGCCTCCGGGGAGAGGCCAGGTGGTGGGAGAGGGGCAGCACGGGGCCTCCAGACATGGGAGAGCAAGCAAGGGGCAGGGGCTCCCGTAGGGGACAGTCACGGGAGGAGACAGATGCTGACAGCCCTCGGACTGAAATTCAGCCAGAAGGAGGTGTTGGCCACAGTTACAACCAGCTCAGACCAAGGTTTGTCCCCAGGGCAGGGCTCCGGGGGCTGGAATCAGTGGCGTTCACAGTCCTGCTTTGGAAAGCTGAGCCAGGTCCCCCTGCCCCCGGCACCGAGGCTGCCTGTCTGGCTCACAGATATCGCAAACCATGAATGAGCTGGGAAGTCACTTCAAATAGAAACACGGCCGGCGATGTAGGCCCTCTGGGCACACGCAGGCTCCAGGCATGGTCAGCGGGAGGCTGGGCAGGCAGGGAGATGGCTGCGTCCAGCCAGGCTCTGTATGTGGGCACGTCTCTCCAGGGAAGGGGGTGGCCCAGGATCTGAGGGCTCCTGCCACCCTGAAAGGAGCAGGGCCATGCCTGGCGAGGACACCATCCTGGAGGAGATGGGCAGGGAGCACGGACTGGGGAGGTGTGTTGGTCTGATCACCACTCTCCTCTGTCTCTGGCACCACGAGGCAGTGCTGGGATCTTCCCCTCCACACACTGTGATGGAGCGATGCAGCAGCCCCCCAGGCTCCTCTGGCCCAGGGGAGAGGCCGTGCTGCTCCACTGTACAGAGTGCAAGCATCCCATCCTGCAGAGATCAGAGCTTCCACGTGCTTGGACACACAGAGCACCCCCTGCCCTGCCCCAGGCCCCTAACCCACTGGGACAACCTCGGAGAAGTCAATACAGAGCCCTTCACTCTCAAGCCATGGTTTGACTCCTTTGTGTCTTCTGATGTTCCAAACGCTCTTCAGGCATCCTCAAATGCTTTTTGGCCACACCAAAGCAGCAGAAGAGCATAGATCTGGCCTTTCCTCCTCTCTCAGGAGATTTCAATACCTGGTACAACCATCCTTACTGTGGGCTCTCGCAGGAAGGACCCAGCCTCAGAGCCCCTCACAGCAACCCCCCTCTGCTCTCGCAGACCTCCTGGGGGTGGTGTCTACCAGCAGTGCAATACCAGCTCCCAATCCACAGTGGGAGGAAGCATGACAAAAGCAAAGGGCAAAGTCTTTTAGTCCCCCGAATTCATTCCAGGGTGCACATTTCACAGGAAATGTCATTGCCAGAGAAATCATTTCATTCATGAGGGTTTTCTCATCCACAATGAGCAATGATGCAGTGGTGGGGGGCGGATTTGACGCAGGAAGAGAGAAGAAAGAAGAGGGCCTAAGAGCCTGTCACTACAAACATTACATGGGTGATGAGGAAGCTGGGATGGACAGAATAAAAGCAACCAGGGTTTGCCCAAGCTGTTGGAGAGTTTACTGTCACATTGTGGTAGTGAGGAGGGATTAGGGCCTCGAGAGAGGGGCAGGATGATCAGTCACCCTGTTAGTGCCACCCTGATGTGGGTGCTCACTGGGACGCTGCAGGCTGTGGCAGAGTCTCACTGGATCACGCTGCTGTCCCGCAGGGAAGGCCACGGTGGACTCTGGATCCGTGGGCTCGGAGGCTACGGGGCTGTCTCCAGGTGACCCCGGGCTGGCTAGGTTTGGGGTCCTTGGGGAAGGGGCCAGGCTGGGCCGTTCAACACCTATGGACAGATCGGGGGCTCAGCACCACGGACAGAGCCCGGGGGGGCTCGTTCAGCACCACGGACAGCAGCCAGACCCCGCTCACCGCTCCCGTCCAGTTCAGCACCACAGACAGCTCCGGGGGCTTTTTCAGCACCACGGACAGCTCCCGGCCCCTTTCAGCACCACGGACAGCTCCGGGGCTTTCAGCACCGCGGACAGCTCCCGGCCCCCCTGCTCCCCCAAATATCCCCCTCGAGGTCCCGATCTCTTCACCACCCCCCCAGAACCTCCCCCGCTGCCCTGCCAGCCTCCCCCGAAGCCCTGTTATTGCCCTGCTGGAATCCAAGGCTAATGCAGAATTGTTATTGGTAGAGGCGCTGCTTCAGTGACAGAGAGCTGCTCGGCAGCGAGCAGCCATCGCTCACGGCTTCCTGCACACACACACACACACACACATGCACAAACAGACATGCATGGACACACACGCACACACACACACCCCATCGGAGCCCCAGGGGCTGGTAGATGCACCTTGCATGAGCCTTGACATTCAGCCGCACATATACACGCACACACACACACACAAACAGATAAGCGCATGCATGCACACACACACGCGCGCGCAGGGTTGCATCAGCTGAATTCATTAGCCCATCTATTTTTACTAATGCAGCAAATCAAGTTGCTCTACAGGCGGAGAAAACACACCCGAGACTGAGTGCTGTGGCAGAGCACACAGCCAAAGCTTTTGTCCGGCAGTCCCGAGGGTAACAGCTCCCCGGGACTGTCAGCTGTACGCTACAGCCCCAGCCAGCAGCAGTGCCAGGCAGGCTCTTGCTCTGGGGGCTGAACCTGTCGACCAGAGCACATGGCAGTAATAAAGACATCCCACTACAAAGATCTCCCTCCCCAGCAGTGCTCAGCAGTGTGCAAGCTGTTTCCTGCTCTGACTGCATCAGGTCAGAGCATTGCCTGTGCTGTGTGTATCAGGGAGGTGTCTGTCCATCCCCACCAAGCACCTAGAGCACCCTGGCAATGCAGAGGAGCCACAGAAGGCCCTGGGGGAGCCCCTGCTCCCTTAGGAATGGAGGGACAGCAGGGATGCAGAGATGGAGACAGGCTGCCTGTGCACGTGCTTGTGTGTGTGCACACACAGATCAGCCCTCCCAGGCCTGGAATCACACACGTCAGCTGGGAGAGAGGCTCAGAGCACGGCTCCAAACTCAGCACCATGCATTCCCCCACTGCACAAGCCAGGAGCTCACAGTGGGGAAGAGCCTCCGCTTCCCTCCGCTCTGCTTGGCCCAGAGACCCGCTGATTGTGTGCTGGGAGCTGGGAAACTCCTTCCTAAGATTACCCTGAGAGCTCCCTGGGAGGCCAGGAGCTCCCCTACCAGCACCCAACAACGCCACAGGGCTCTTCCCACCTCGCAGCAGGCAAAGAGGCTCTGGAGGCCCTGGGAAAACAACAGAAGGCAAAACTTCCCAGCAGCAGGCAGCGGGGGCCCCTCTGGCTGTTGTGCTGTCTGCCTGTGGCAGGGTTCATCCCTTCGGTGCCCCAGGGGGTGCGGAGTGGTGCTGGCCCCAGCCTTGGCTGCTCCCCACAACGATTTAGCCCTAGGAATGTGGATGTGCCTGGTCAAGCTGGAGAGCTGAGCACGGCCTGGAGCATGCAGTTCTCCAGTGATGTGCCACTGCTGAGGCCTAAAGCTCCCAAAAATGTCAAGCCCTGTCCTCCTCCCTATCCCAGGCAGCTCCATGTCCCACAGGGACAGGGGGGAGGAATCACCCACACAAGGGGATGGCCGTGAGCAAACACCTACACACAGAGCAGGGCAGAGCTGGACCACGACTGTGGCTGACCTGGGCCAACCTTCTCCAGCCCCCTCTGGAGTTCCAGGACCTCACTGCTCACGCTTCCCTGTCCCTCATGCCTGAGCCTTTCCCTGCTCCCTGGTGACCACGGCGCGGTGAAGGGGGAGCAGCTCCTCTTGTGCCACAGCCACAACACGCCCGGCACGGTGCAGCCCTACTCTTTGCCCCTTTTGGCCCTGGGAACAGGCAAGAAATAGGGAAAGACCCATCTGTGGTCATCGAGGAGAGAGGATCCAGGAGGCTTGTGGCTGTCCCTGAGACAGTCCCAGGGACACTGGTGTCTTCCCTGGGTACCTCTGGGACAGGGGCCTCCCCCAGGGCCTTCAGACACCCTCATCCCTCTGGACATGGCAATGGCCACGCAGCAGTGAGGTCGCTCTGCTCAGCTCCATCCCATCGATGCCCCGAGTGGGTCCTGGCCCCAGGTGCCGGTGCTGGCAGGGACCAGCACCACGGAGCGTGCTGCCACCACCACCAAACCCTGCGCCTTGCCATGCCGTCGCTGTGGCAGCACCAGCTCAGAGAGGCCACCAGCACGGCCTGAGCCCTGCCCCAGACCCAGTGCCCAGTGAGGATGTGCAAAATGGGGGGGTCCCGTGGTGTTTAGCCACAGGACTTCTTGCTGCAGGGTGCTGTGTGGCTGCTCAGTGCTGACAGAGGCTCAGAAAGCTGTTGGGTACCGTCCTGTGACCGAGGCCATGGCCTTGTGACAGGTGGCAGTGCCACCCTGCTGCTCCGTGCCCTCTAACCGCATGCCTCAATTTCCCCACCAACGCTGACCCCACTGCAATGGGGACTACTGGGGCTCTGTGGGTCAGTGTGATGCCCCGAGCCTGCTTGTGGGGCAGCCCCACAGCCTCCTGCTCATCCAGGAGCCGGAGCTGGGCACGGTCACACCTCCAGCAGGGAGAAACCCCGAGGAATTCCTTCTGCCCACCTGCCCCTTCCCCAAAAGCTCTCCTGTCCCCGTAGCACCTGGGTGAGCGTGCCCATCCCCGTGCCGGTGGGCAGAGGTTTGGCGGGGGTGGGATGCTGCCAAAGGGGCCCCATCCTGCTCCCAGCACAGCGTGAACACAGCCTCCAGCCCCCAAAACCAGCAGGTTCCTGAGGGAGGCTCCAGCTGGACCATGGCCGTGTCCCCATGGGATGGGCAAGATGCAGGTGACCCCGCTGGAGGGGACAGGGGACCCTCTCCCCCCACCTGCCTCCCCACGCGTGCCACCCAGCCCGAGCAAGGGCCCTGCACCCCAGGAGCAGGATTTAGGGGGGCCAGGAGGTTCCCAGCACCGGGAGGCTCCAGCACCGCATCCCTGCCGCCACGGAGAGGAAAACAGAGCCGGAGGATGGGAGAGGGATCGATGTGGGGGAAGCCAGCTCGGGGAAAAATAGATATCTATCTCATTAAAAATGGATGCTGAAGCGAGTCCTCCCCACTCCAAAGCCACCTCCCTCCCTCTTCCTGGTAGCCGGAGTGAAATCAGCTCCGAGCTTCCAGAGGAGGGGAAATGCCAGCACCACACAGCTCCCGCTCTGCGCCCACCGAGCCCCCCCCCGGCCACCACGGCTCGGCCCCCAGCCCGGGACCACTGCCAGAGTGTCCCCACCACAGGGACGCTGTCACCAGCCGCTGTCACCCGGACACTGCCACCTCCTGCCAGTGCCACCAGACCCGGCACTGGGGCACAGTGGGGCCGAGTGATCCCCCACAACACTGCCAGGCTCCCCCAGCTTTGGGGCCATAAGGACTGCCTGGATACAGCCCCAGCTCGCAAACCCGTGCCTCAGTTTCCCCATCACCTGGCCCAGCCTGCCCCACCATGGGGTCTGTACTCAGCTTCCTGAGCCTCTATAGGGTGCCCCACACCGAGCTGGGGCCCTGCTGCCAGCACCAGCCCCGTGGGCTCCATCCCTGTCCAGGACCTGTCCCTGTGTGCCCCTGGTCCCTGGGAGTGACGGTGACAGGAGGGGGCTGTCCCCAGTCCCCATGGCTTCTGTCACCCCACAGCAGAGGACAACCCCACTGGGGTGTTGGGGTGCCAGGGTAATGGGGTTCCGTGGTGTCAGGGTGCTGGGGTGTCGGGGTAATGGGGTGTTGGGGTAATGGGGTGTTGGGGTTTTAGGGTGACAGGGTACCAGGGTGATGGGGTGCTATGGTGTCAGGTTGTTTGGGTGCATGGGATGTTGGGGTGCCAGGGTGCTTGTGTGCCAGGGATGGAGCTCCAGGGTGATGGGGTTTTGGGACTTTAGGGTATCGGGATAGCAGGGTGCTGGGATCCCCTAGTGTCACCGTGCTGGGATACTGGGGAGCCAGAGTGCCAAGGGTGCCAGGGTGCTGGGGTTATAGGGTTGGTTGGGTTTGCCAGGGTACCAGGGTGCTGGGTTGTCGGGGTGCCGGGATGTTGGCATGCCAGGGTGTTGGGGTGACAGGGTGCCTGGGTGCCAGGCTGATGGGGTGCCAGGCTGTTGGGCATTTAGGGTGACAGGCTACTGGTGTCTCATGATGGGGGGGGTGCTTGGATGCTGGGGTGCAGCAGGGTGAAGGGCTGTTGGGATTTTAGGGTAACGGGGTGATGGGGCTGATGCCACCGGGGTGGGTGAGGAGCCTGAGGGTGCTTCAGGGACTGGGGAGGGGGGGGGGAGGAGGAGGAGAGCCAGCACCCCCACCGCGGGGGCTGCCCCCTCCCCACACCAACAACCACGCTCATCCCAAGGACATCCCCCTCCCCGCCGCCGTGCTGCCCCCAACCCTGGGGGACCCCATGCTCCGGTGCGCCCCCCTCCCTCTCCCCATTTCTCTCCGCGTCCCCCCCCCCCCCTCCCCATCCTCCCCTTTCCCCAACGCCGAGCCGGGAGCGCGGGGCCCGCTCCGCCGCCGTTATATAACGGGGCTGCGGGATCCTGCACCGGGGGCTGCGGCCCCAGCGCCCCCTCCCCGCCCGGCGGGGCCGTGCCGAGCCGCTGGCGGTGGCGGTGCGGGCTTTGTGTCGCAATGGTCGCCCGAGAACGAAGGGAACCGAGCGGCGGAGGCCGGGGATGGGGAGGGGAGGGGGGGGGGGTGAGGAAGGACGAGAACCCGGGGGGGGGCTGCTTACCTCCAGCTCGCCTAGCTCATGCCATGCCGTGCGCCGACAGCCGCTCCTTTCATGTGCGGGGAGACATCGGGAGGAGAAGCGGGGGAGAAGGAGAGGAGGAGGAGGAGGAGGAGGAAGAGGAGGAGGAGGTGGGGGAGGAGGAAGAGGAGGAGGAGGAGGAGGAAGATGGGGGCTCGCTGCCTGCCCAGCCTCACCGCTCGGCCGCGGGGCCGCCGGGCCTGAAGGCGATAAAAAAAAAATAAAAAAAATAAAAAAAAAAAAGAGCAGCGGGGAGGGGAGAAAGGAGCCGGAGCCGGATCGGTGCCGGGCAGCCCGGGCTGGAGGCTGCGAGAGGCTCGCACACGCCGCGCACACGCACACGCGCGGCTGCACGCCCGCACCCGCACCCGCACCCTCCCGGCCCGGTAAAAAGCCCCGGAGCCGCCGGCAGCGGTAACGGCACCGCCGCAGCCCGGCCCCCGCAGCACCGGAGGGGAGCGCACAGGTGAGGGTGCAGGAGCCGGCCCCCGGGGGGGAGAACGGGAAGGGCCCGGGGGGGCTGGAGGGATGGATGGGAGGGGGAGGGATGGGGGAAGGAGGGAGGGAGGGAGGAGAGATGGAGGGATGGATGCAGGGCAGATGGGAGAGGGAGAGAGGGAGGGAGGGAAGGAAGGAAAAAGGAGGGAGGGATGGAAGGAAGGAGGGAGGAAGGGATGGATGGATGGATGGATGGATGGATGGATGGATGGATGGATGGATGGATGGATGGATGGATGGATGGATGGATGGATGGATGGAGAGAGGGATGGATGGATGGATGAAGAAAGGAAGGAAAGAAGGAGGGATGGATGGATGGATGGATGGATGGATGGATGGATGGATGGATGGATGGATGGAGAGAGGGATGGATGGATGGATGAAGAAAGGAAGGAAAGAAGGAGGGATGGATGGATGGATGGATGGATGGATGGATGGATGGATGGATGATGAATGGATGGATGGATGGATGGAAAGAGGGATGGATAGATGAATGGATAGGTGCAGGGACAGCTGGCTGGATGGAGGAAAGGATGGAGGGATGGGTGTAGGGAGAGATGGAGGCGTAGATGGATGGATGGACGGAAGGACAGGTGGAGGGATTGGTGGTTTGCCCCAGGACAGACGGATGGAGGAGGTGGTGGAGGGGTGGATGGGTGGGCACAGGGACGGAAGGATGGAGGGGTAGATGGAGGGATGGAGGAAATGATGGAGGGATGGACGCGGGGATGGAGGGATGGAGGGATGGACATAGGGATGGAGGGATGATCATGGGGATGGATGCAGGGACAGTTGGAGGGTCGGGGGGATAGATGAAGGGATGGTTGCAGGGACAGATGGATGGAGGCAGAGATGGATGGATGGACAGATGGAGGGCTAGATGGAGGGACAGACGCAGGGGTGGATGGACAAAAGGACGGATGCACATATGGACGTTTGCTCTCTTTCCCCACCAGGGCACTGGCAGACCAGCGATCCCGGAGCTGAACCCTCCTGCCTGGCAGCCCCTGCCTCAACGAAGCAACCTGGGGACCACCCAGCACCCCAGGGTGCTGTGGGGGCCTGTGCCAGCCGCCCCCATCGAGGGAAGGGTGCTGAGCAGGTCTGGCCCCATCCCGCTGCTGGCAGCAGGACCCACAGCCAGATGCCCCATCACTGCCCCATTCATTCCCAGTGCTGCACCCACCCAGCACCCCAGTGTGGGGCCTGGCTGCACCAGTGCTCCCCAAACTGGGAGGAACTGGTGAGTTGCCACGTTTAACCCCTTCCTGTCTCCCTTCCCATCACACAGCCCCATAGGAGCCAGTGGGACTGGCTCGGCTGCCTGCCACCCGGCCGGGCCCAGGGGAGGCTGATGTAACTGCCCGGATCTGGCTGCCTCCATTATTTATAAGGCAGGTCGGGTTTCGGGTTTCCAGCTGGCAGCAGGAGGGTGTTTGGGGGGAGGAGAGGTGCGTGCACACACACACACACCCCCTCATCCCACCCCACAGCAGGGCTGGAGGTGCCGTGTCCCCACGGTGTGCCACTGCCCCTGTCCCTCGTGCAAAGAGGGGACAGCGTCCAGACGGGGAGCTGGTCGGGGTGGGGGCTGCTGGCACTCAGGGGTCCCCTTGTACAGGGACAGGGCAGCCCTGGTCACCCCCACCCTGTCCAGTGGGTGACAACTGCAGGAGAAGGTGCTGTGACAGGGGACATGTGGGAATGTGGCCTCATCCCAAGGCCACACATCTTTATCCCAGTGGCACCAGTGAGGACCTGGGGGTCTTTCCTCTGTCCTGTCCCTACAGGGGTGTCACCAGGGGGGCTGTCACCTGGCCCTGGTGGCCGTATCAGCCCTGGACACCCCAGGGTGGTGACAGGAGTGAGCCCACTCCCAGCCACACTGGCAGGAGACCCCTTTTGTCCCCTTGTCCAGGTGCAGTGTCCTGGCACGGCCCCATTCACACTAACCGAGGAGGATGAGCTGGAGTGGCCACATATCCTGGGGACATTTTGGTGCCCAGAAGTGTCACAGCCAACAGAGGAGACCCTGAGCAGGGGCACTCCCTGGTGGAGGGGACACAGATGGGGCTGACCCCCTGTATGGCCACCCAAAGGGGGAACTGCCCCCCCTGGCTCCACAGCACCCAGCATGTCCCACTGTGACCAGTGTCCCACTGTGGCCTTCGCTGGGCTCCCATCCCCGCCACCCTTAGCCCTGGCCGGTGGCACCGGGCACCGCTGGGCCACCACCTTGGGGGGGGGACCAGGGGTGCCAAGGCTGGACCGCAGTGCGCAGGGCGCCGTCGCCGCAGCAACCGCCGTCGCCTAGCGATGGCTGTCTCCCGGTAACCCGTCGCCTAGCGATGGGGGATTTTTCACAGCTCTGGATGCAGGGCTGCGAGTTATTTTTAGCCCGCCTGCAAATCAATAGGCAGCTCCATTCGCAGCCCGCGAGGATGCACGCGCCGGGGCCGCCGCCGTGCCGGGCCCTGTTTCGGTGGTGGCAGGGGGCTGCCGGTGGCTTGGGGACAGCCCGGTGCCACCAGCACGGTGCCATCAGCCCGGTGTGTGGCCCCTTTGGGTCTCCTGGGGTTCAGCACCCTGCGGACCCCAGCCAGGGCTCGACACCCTCCAGGCCATGTGCGCCTCGAGGGTTGGCGAAGGCAGGAGGCAGCCGTGGGGACCCTCACCCTGTCCCCGGGACCCTCACCCTGTCCTTGGGGGCTTCGGCTGGCCATGGAGACTGTGCTGCTGCTGCAGGGTGCTTTATTTTGCCTTGGGGACACTCACCCTGCTGTGGGGACACTCACGCTGCTGTGGGGACCCTCCTCCACCCATTCACCCTGACCTGGCCGTGGAGACCCTCATTATGCTGCAGGGACCCTCACCCACTGCTGGGACCCTCATCCTGCCGCGGGGACCTTCTCCCACCAGTGGGGACCTCTGCCCTGCCACGGTGACATTTGTCCTGCTGCAGGGCTCCTCACCTGGCTGCGGGGACCCTACCCTACCATGGAGCCCCATGGGGACCCTACCCCACATTTCCCCTCCGGACAGCCCCCAGGTGCTTGGGGGCACCAGCAGAGGACAGGGACCCCACGCAGGGCTGGGGCACCGGGTCCTTGGGGACTGGGGGGCCAGGGCACGGCTCTGGGATGCTCGGGAGCCAGCTCAGCTGGGAGCTGATGCGAGGCCTCCGGAGCTATTTTTTAGGGACTCTGTGGGTGCCTGGCACAGCCCCGTCTCCTGCAGGCGTGCTGGGATCGGCGGCAGCAGCTCCCCACGCAGCCCCAGGGGGCCGGGAAGGGGATGGGGATGGGGAGCCCCATGCTCCCTAGGGTCAGCCCCCAGCCCCTCCGAGCACCCCCCCGGGAGCCCCAGCCCTGCTCCACGGCCCCCCTTTTGCCTATCCAGGAGGGTTTTGCCCCCAGGTACCGCGCCCCAAACCGGAGCCGGGGCAGGATCCGGCCCGGGGCTGCCGATGCTGGAGGCCGGGTCTGGGGCACAAGGCGTGGGGGGGGGGTGGGACGAGGCCGGGGGGGGCGTCGGGAGGCTCTGCCGAGCCGTGCCCGCGGTCACCAGAGGGCACTGCGAGCCCGCGGCATCCCGGCCCCGGGGCTCCGAGCATCGCGGGGACCCCGCTCGTCCCCGGGCATCCCGGCAGGATCCTACCGGGGCTCCGCGCCCCCAGCCCCGGGGGGGGCTCCGCGGGTGCCAGCAGCTCCCCGCCTGTCCCCTGCTCGGCCACGGGAGGGGCGGCTGCGCCTTGGTCCCCCCCAAAGGGAAGAGGGAGCCGGGGGTGTGGGTGGGCGTGCGTTTTTTCCCCCCCCCCCCGCTTTCCCCAGTTCAGCCCAGTTCGGCCCCAGTTCGGCATCGGCCGCTCGGTGCCCGCTGTTTCCACCCTCTCCCGGCCCTCATTTTCCACGGATTCCAGCAAATTGACTTCTTTCAGCGTCATTTCATGGCCGGAGGGCTCTGAATCCCGCTCCCCCCCCCCCCGGCGCGCCGGGCCCCCCTCCCTTGGCCCTCCCCTCTCTTTCTTCCCTGCCACCCGAATTTCCAATCCCTCATTTCCATTCCGCTCCACCCTCCGCGCCCGGGGACTTTGTTCTCCGCCTGTATCAGCGCATCGCAATTGTTCCGTGTTTATTTCAAACGTTTTGGCGGGCTGTCACCCGGCGGAAACTTAATTAATTGGGGGGTCTGCGGGCCCGGCACTGCGCTGCCTGAATGGGAAAAAAAAAAAAATAATAATAATAAATAATTAATAATAATTAGGGGCCGGCCAAGGGAGGAGGGGAGATGGGGGCGTGCGGATGCGCAAGCGGCGCAGGCCGGGCGCTGGTGCCGGCTGGCCGCGTTTGGGGGAAAATCCTTCGAAAAAGGCCAATTTGGGGCGCTGGGGAGGAAATTGGGGGTACGGGGAGGGGGGGGCAGGACCCACGCGCGCCCCACGCCCCAAGCCCGGCCTCCCCACGCAGCATCGTGGGGAATTCCCCCCGAGGGGGGGAAGCACCGAGGGGGTCCCCAGAGTTTGGGGGGGTTCGGGGGCCGGGACAGCCCCCCCCGGCCCTTGGGGACCCCCGGAGGTCTTGGCCGGGCCCCCACGCCCCGCGTGGGGTGCTCGGGGAGGAGAAGGGGGGGGAGGGCAACGGCCCCGCCCCTCCCCCCCGATTGGCCCAAAGTTTGGGGGCGCGGCGCTGATTGGCCCCCCCGGTTCCCACGCCCTCCCCCCCCATCCCCACTCCCCACCTCCCCAATTCCCCCCCCGCGCTGCGCTCCGCGGCCACGGCCGGGGCCGCCCCGGGGCCGCCGCCGCCACCGGGAGCCCGGAGCGAGCGATGCGGGCGCTGTGGGCGCTCTGCCTCGCCGGGCTGGCCGCGGCCCTCGGCAGCTTCTCGGCGGATCAGTGCAGCTGGAGGGGCAGGTAGGGGCCGGGGGGGGGCCCTCAGCCCAGTTTGGAGGGGAGGGGGGAGCTCCGAGCATCCCCGCGGTGAGGCCCTGGGGATGCCGCCTGCCTCAGTTTCCCCGCTCGGAGGAGGCCCCCAAAGATGCTCACGGCCCTGGGGGGGTCGCAGGGCTCCGAGATGCTTCTCCAGAGCCCCCCCTCCGTCCTCCTTCATCTTCCTCCCCGTGCAGGTGCGCGCTGCCGGCCCCGACCCCCCCTTCCCTCTCCTTGGCCCCGCCGTTGCTCGGGTGGCTGCTGGGGGCCCCCAGACCCTTCCCGGGGCCCTTTCCCACCGGGGGAAGGCGCCGAGCTCGGGAACAAAGAGCGGGGGCCCGGCAGGAGGGGCTGCGGCGGGGCCACGGGGCCGCGCAGCCGCCAGCGGCGCGGCCCGGACAAAGCGGCCGCCTCCGCTCCCCCCCCAACCCCCCCACAACCGGCCCCGCTCCCCCCGGTGGGTGCCAGCCCCGCTGCCAGAAATGCCCAAATGTCACCACGGGGCGCTGGGGATGCCGGAATCCCAGTCCCGCAAGAGCAAGGGGTCGGGGTGACCCCCCCCCAGCACCCAAAGGTCGCCCCCGAAAGGGCAAGGGAAGGGGTTTGGGGGGGGGGGGCAGGAGGGCAAAGCCCCTCCGTGATGATGCGGCTGCAGCAAGCACCAGCCCCATCCCAAAATCATGAGACCGCACCCCAAGCTGAGGCTCCCAGGGGGCTGGGGCATCTCCTTGGGGTCTCCGTGCCCCTCACACCCGCTCCGTGCCCTCCCTGGGGGTCGGTCGGGGGGTCTCTATCCGGGAGGGGGGGGCACCCCGCTGACGGGTGCTGCGGTGCCTTGCAGCGGCTTGTCGCAGGAGGCGGGCAGCGTGGAGCAGCTGACCCTGCGCTGCGCCGAGGGCTCCCTGGAATGGCTGTACCCCACGGGGGCCCTGCGCCTCCGCCTGGCCCCCCGCCTGCCCCCCGCCACCGGCACCGGCAAGGGCAGGAGCCCCCGGCACGTCACCGCCTGCATCAAACCCGCCGGCACTTTCCGGGGGGCTCAGCTCTACCTGGAGCGGGACGGGGAGCTGGAGCTGCTGCTGCCCGAAGCGGAGGCTGCCCCCCGGCCCCGCGTGCGCTGCTTCAGCTGGCTGCCCCGCGAGAAGGTGGCCCTGTTCCTGCAGGCCACCCCGCACCGCGACATCAGCCGCCGCATCGCCGCCTTCCGCTACGAGCTGCGGGGGGACTGGCTCGCCCGCCTGGCGCTGCCCGCCGCCAGCCTGCCCGCCGAAGGTGAGCCAGCTCGCCTCCCTCGGGTGCCTTGGACCCTGCTTCAAGTGGGAAACCTCCCCAAAAAGGGGGTTTCTCTCGCCACGCAGGCAGGCGGAGGGTGATGGGGGGGCTCAGCCATGGGGAACTCTCTCCTGGCCCCCACGGGGCACTTGTGTCCCCCCCTGGGGCGCGGAGGTGACGGCTGTGCTTGGCCATTGCAGGGGCGTGCCGGCCGTGCAACGACACCGAGCTCCTGATGGCCATTTGCACTAGTGACTTTGGTGAGTAGCTCCTTGGGCTCAAGGGGAGGGAAAGGAACGAAAATTGGGATGCTGGGAGCGGGGGGGGTGCTGGGACAGCGTGCGCCTGGCTGGTCTGAGAGCCCTGACCCAGCCCCAGGATGGTGACGGTGCCCAGAGGTGCCCACCCATCGTGGGCCCATTCAGCACCTCAAAGCCTGGGGAGGGTTCCCCACTGCTTTGCTGCTCCTTCAGCCTGCAATGAGCTCGTTTGCTCCCCGAGGCTGCTGTGGGATGGGGACGGGGATGGGGACGGGGACGGGGATGGGACCACGCTCATGCCTCTCCCTGCCTTCCCCCGCAGTGGTCCGTGGCAGCATCCGCAGCGTCTCCAACGACGCGGAGCTGCAGGAATCCATCATCGGGGTGAGCGCCATCCGCATCCACCGCCAGAAATTCCCCCTCTTCCAGGCCGGGGGGCGGCCGGGGAGGGCGGCGGGCAGCATCCGCACCCCCCTGCGCTGCGGTGTCCGGCCAGGCCCCGGCACCTTCCTCTTCACGGGGTGGCTGCATTTCGGCGAGGCTTGGCTCAGCTGCGCGCCCCGCTACAAGGACTTCCAGCGCATCTACGAGGGCGCCCGGCGCAGGCGGCAGAACCCCTGCGAGTTCCCCGTGGACTGAGCATCTCGGGGAGGGGGCAGCCCCCGGTTTTGGGGCTGGGAGCATCCCTGCTCGAGAACCCCTGGAAAATGGTTCATCTCGGCACTGTCCCCCCGCTCGCCCCGGGGGCATCGCCACGTGGAGGGGACCTCTCGCCGTCCCCGGGGACGATGGATTTGCCAGCAAGGATGGGCACATAGGGACACGGGAGCACAGGAGCACGGTGCTTTGGTCTTTGCCTCATCCTCGGGGCAGTCCCATGAAAATCCTGCAGGAAGGGGAGGGATTTTCCCAGATGCATTCAAGTGGGCCTGGCCCTGGGGGGGATGGGGGCTCCCTGTGGATGAGGGCACGTGGGGACCCGCGCCCCGGGGGTGCTGTGGTCTTGGGGGTTGTGGGGACGCGGTGGGGCACGGCGGGTGGTGCAGGGGGGGCAGCTGTCCCCTGGGGGGGCTCTGCGGGTGGCAGGAGGAGAGCGGTGGCGTGGCTGGGGCACGGCGGTGAGAGCAGAAGTGTGGAAGGGGATTGGCAACGTTGAGGGTGGAAGGGGGAGCGGGGTGATGGCGATGGAGAGCTTTGCCCTGGCCCTGCTGGTGACGCAGGGCATGGGCGGGAGGGGCAGAGGAAGAGGAGCGAGGCTGAAGGAGTGAATGTGATGGTGAGGAGGGAGCAGAGGCAGCACGGAAGGGACTCTGGCATGGCCACGGCTGAAGCAAAGTGTGGAGCAGAGGAGGGGGCACGGGGATGGAAGCAGGGAGAGGTGGGGCTGTGCCACCGCCAGCGCGGGGACGTGGGGACGCGGGGATGTGACCTCGTGGCAGCTCGCCACCCCGCCGTGCCAGGGCGCACCAGGAGGGATTTGGGACCGTGGGGGCGCGGGGGGCATTGTATGTGCACTAAAGTGATAACGATACCAAATTTGTGATTTTGTTTTCTATAAACTAAGCTGTATTTGTGGCGCGTGTGGCCTCTTTTCAGCAAGCGGCGGCGGACGGTGACCAAGACACGAGGGGCGAGCGGGTGGGCGAGCGTGGCTGCAGACATCTGCATTACAGCAGTCTCTGTAGATCTCTCTTCCCAAATTGCTGCCTCCCTGCTTTTCCCTGGGGTCAGCTCGGGTTTCCTCCAGCGGGGCCGGGGGCCGCGGGGCCCCCCCGGTGGTGCCGCTGTCAGCGCCGATCTCGTCAGCGCCCGCTGGCCACAAGGCCTCATTGTGCCGAGCTGCCCCGCGCCCAGCCCGGTGCCGGCCTGAAATCTGCTTCTCCTCGTCAGGAAACCGTTCCCAAAGAAAACGCTGCCGGCTTCGGAGCTTAATTAAAAGATGCGCCTGGTTTGTTCCTGGGGAGATCCTGCCCCTGCGAGCCTCACCGGGGGATCGCTGCAGAGCGCACGGTGCCCGTGTTCCTCCTCGGTGCTGGCTCCCTGCCTCGCTGCCCAAATGTCACTGACTATTTTGGGGCTGTGCTGGGAGCAAGGGGGCTGCGAGGGCAGGATACGGCCCTGGGGGAGAGGGGGGTCTGGAGGAAGCCGTCAGCCCGGGGTTTTGGCAGCGTTAGCAAGGAGGCAAAAAGGGGGAAGGAGTGGGAAACCCAGAGGAGGAGGAAAAACGACACTGGAAAAGCAATAAACGAGGCGTGGACAAAGGGACCCGCGCTGCCCACGCAGCCCTCTGTAGGCGCCGGAGCGAAATCCTGGCTTCTCTGACCCCAGCGCATTCCTCGGGGTGAAATTATTGCATTTAATGCGCCGAGCATCCGGTGGGGTGCTGTCCAGCCACAGAAAATCTTGTTTTTCTTCCAAAATGTTTATTTGGCCAAATCAGATCGTTCTGCCGCGGCGGAAAAGGCTGTTATTCTGCTCTTTGGCCAACGCGGAGTTTTCGGCGGTGTTTTTGGTGCCCTCTGCCCTCGGCCGGGTTCGGCCGCCTGCCCCCGCTTCCCGCGGCGCCTGGGCTGTGGCCAGGGCTCCAACGCTTCCTACGGGAGGTGCTGGGGAAGGAGCTGGTGCTGGGGGGGCACCACGGCTGCTGGGGGGGGGGGTGACAATGACAACGGGGCTGCTCAGGGATGCTGCAGCACCAGGCAGCCCCGTCCTGGCGTCTCCCCAAAATCCCAGCCCAATTCCCGAGGGGCAGCCCGGCCCCCACTGCCTCTTGGCACAGAGCGCAGGGCACCATCAGGCGGGCTCCGTCCCGGTTAATGTTTCCTCTGCGGGATGGAAAACAAGGTGGGAGCCACCACGGCGGCGCAGAGGGAGGACGAGGGGACGGCGGCGTGGCGAGGGGGGGCTTTGTGCAAACAAGATAAGGGACGGGGGGGTCTGGAGGGGTCGGGGGCGATGGCCGTCCCCGTTGTCCCCAGGGATGGTCCAGCTGGGGGCACTTGGGGACAAACCAGAAGCCAGCCCCGGGGCTGGTTCAAGCCTGGACCCCCTCCAGCTCGATCCAACCCCCCCGGCAGCCCCATCCGTGACCGCGATGTCCCAGCCCAGGGGTCCCTCTGGGTGTGCTGGGTGCTGGGTGGCCGTGCCGGCACGGCACAGCGCTGCGCCACGGCACCGTCAGGGCGTCCCCGGCGCCCCCGTCCCTGTCCCCGCTCACAATGGGAGCCGCCGTTTCCCGCCACTTCCCCCCCCCACCCCAGCCCTTTTATTCCCTCCCGCAGCCCCCCTTTTCCTTCCCCCTTGCCCGGCCGCCAGATAAAAGCCTGGACGTGTGAATCGCGGGGCACAAAGGCGACGCACAAAGGCGGCCGGCCGTGCGCAGCCCTCCTCGCTGCCCGCCCCGAGCAGGGGGATGGAGACCTCGCGCCCAGCCCGGGGCTGTCCCAAGCCCCCTGTCCCCTCCTGTCCCCTCCTGTCTCCTCTGTCCGCACCACCCTGGGGGCCAGGAGCTGCCGTGGGGAATGCTTCTGGGAAAAGGGGCGTTCTGTGGGGTCAGGATGATGTCCCTGGGGATGGGGTCACGATATGGTCAGGATAACACCTCTGGGGTCAGGGGATGCCCTGTAGGTTTAGATAATGTTCCTGGGGTTGGGGAAGTCCCGTAGGGTCAGTAAGGATAACACCCCTGGGGGCAGGGGATGCCCCATAGGATCAGGATGATGTTCCTGGTGTTAGGGATGCCCCATAGGGTCAGGATAATGCCCCTGGGGTCAGGGGATGCCCTGTAGGTTTGGATAATGTCTCTAGGATCAGAGATGCCCCATAGGGTCAGGATGATGTTCCTGGGGTAAGGGGATGCGCTGTAGGATCAGGATAACTCCCCTGGGGTTAGGGATGCCCCATAGGGTCAGGATAATGCCCCTGGGGTTAGGGATGCCCCATAGGATCAGGATAACGCCCCCATGGGCCGGGGGCAACAGGCAGCACAGGGCAGTTTGGGCAACTGCGCAGGGCAGCATCCAAGGGGCCCATCCGCAGCCCTGAGCAGGATGGAGCGAGCGGGTGAGCCCAGTGACCCCAAGGAAGCCCTGACCACCACATACCCCCCCCAAAAAAAAACACAACCTGGGCTGAGGGCCCTACTCGGAGCCCCCTGGCTTGAGCCGAGCCACAGCCGTGCCCCCTGGGACCCCCGGCCCCCCGATCTCGCGGCGGCGCTGCCGACAGCTGGTGGGAAGGAGCTTTCCCAGCGCATGGCGACAAATTCCTGGCGCTCGGAGCCGCTTTGCAGCCGCCGCGGCCCCAGCGGGGGGAGCTGCCCGGGGTGGAGGCAGATTAAAGGCGCTGGGGCTCCCAACTGCTCCCCGCGCACGGCCACCTGCTCGGCCCCGCACACCGGGACACGGCCTCCCCCCGACCTCCCCGGGCCGTGCACGGGGGGGCTCAGCCCTGCGTGGGAATTGCTTCGTTAATTAACCAGCTCCCCAGCATCCCTGGAACCATCCTCCTCTTCCTCCTCCTCCCTGTGCTGCTGCCGCCCCCGGCCCCTCGCTCCCGGCTCCTGTTTCCCCCGATTTTCTGCTCGCTCCCAGACTAATTGGCCCCACCTGCCAGCAAGCCGCAGAAAATCGGTGAAATCCCCGTGGCCCCCACTTGGCCACAGCCGCGCGGGGGCCATCACGCAGCACTTGGGGGGGGGCACTGGTGTCAGGGGGGAGACACAGCCCTGGGAGAATTTTTCCAGCATATAGCAGTGTGTAGGGACAGTGTTGGTCCCGGTGGTGCGCCCTGTCCCCATCACTGCTCTAGTCTTAATGGGGTGAGCATCACTGAGCACCCAGACCTACATTTTTAAGGTGTGCTTGTGCAACCACCCCCTGCACCTGCAGTGACACCGGGGGTGGTCTGGGTGCACGGTGAGCACAGGCACCCCGTCACGGGGACACCGGGCTGTCCCCAAGCTCCCAGGTCCTGCTGGAGGAGCTGCGCAAACCTCAGCCCCCAGGGGAGAAGGGGAGGAAACCACGGGCTGCAGGAAGCCGCCTGCCCTCTGTGTGCCGCCGGGTTCCCCTAATTGATTCATTATTGTTCCATTTTATTTTTTTTTTAATTGCGGGTGGGCACCGACCCCGGAGGCAGCACCAGGATTTTCCCACAGCCCGGTGGCAGTGGGGACAAGCCACAGGTGGGCTCACGGGGGGGCACGCGGGCGTGTGAGGCGCACCAAGTGTGCGCGGGCGTGCAAAGCGCACTGCGGCTGCTGCCGTTTCCAGCAGCCCCAGCCACGAGGGAGCCGGGGGGGCCTGCAGCCACCCCCCCCAAACACACACACACACACACAGACTCCGGGCACTCCACTGTCCATGGCACGGCGCCCAGCGTGCCCGCAGCACACGCCGGGTGGCGGAAGGCCTCGGTGCACGGGGGGCCGCCCCTTCCGGCAGCCATGGACACCGAGGCGCTGGACGAGCTGGCCGGGCAGCTGCGGGGGGAGGCCCTGGGGGGGCGCGGGCTGCTGCAGCTGGCGACGGCCACCGGCTTGGCCGCCTACGCCGTCTGGGCCGCCGTGCTCATGCCCGGTTTCCGCCGGGTGCCGCTGCACCTGCAGGTACCCCCAGGACCCCCCCCATGCCCAAGACACCCCCCCTCATTCGCTTTGCAGAGCTGACCGAGCCCCCTCACCCTGCTCTTTTTGTGTGTGTCCCCCCCCTCCAGGTGCCCTACATGCCGTCCAGCGCCCAGCAAGTGGCCAACGTGATGGCGCTGCTGCGGGGCCGCTCGGGGAAGACGGCGGATTTGGGATCGGGGGACGGACGGCTCGTAAGGGGGGGTCTGGAGAGGGCAACGGGCAAGGAGGGGAGCACAAAGGCACCCCCGGTGTGGGGATCCCCAGGAGCAGGGTGCTGGCAGCACCCACCGGGGGTGGCCCTGGGGGCATCCAGCAGGGTGGGACAACCTGGGGGGAAACCCTGAGAGCGCAGCGGGAGCCTCAGCACCCATGGGTGCTGTGCCCTAGAGGGGCTCCTGCCCCCGGGCTCCTCTCAGCCCCCAAATCTCTCTCTGCAGGTGCTGGAGGCTCATAAGCAAGGGCTCAGGCCAGCCGTGGGCTACGAGCTCAACCCGTGGCTGCTGTGGCTCGCCAAGTACCGTGCTTGGAAGGCAGGGTGCCACGAGCAGGTCTCCTTCCTGAAGCAGGACCTGTGGAAGGTAACGGCCTCGGGGGCTGAGCGCTGGCCGTAGGCAGGGTGAGAGCTCTGAGGAGAGGTCTGGGCGCTGCTGGCCCTGATGGACACGCTGCCAGAGCTGCCTGCAGGTACCCCCAGCAAAAAAAAAAAATTGCCAGTCGGGCAAAATCCACAAGGGAATGTGGTGTGGGGACACCAAGACGATGCTGAAGGCAGGTCGCGGCTGTCCCAGCGCAGCCCGCTGTCCCACACGCTGTGTGGCATCCTTGCTTCCCCCCGAGGTTCACAGGACCGCTTGCAAAACGCTTGGCCACTCAGGCAGCTCCCCCACGCTTCCCCCCTAGGAGCCTTTTGCTTCTTTCATTCCCCTTTTCCTTCTTTTTCAAGGCAAATCTTTCTGATTGCTACAACGTGACCGTGTTCCTGGCTCCCAGCGTGGTAAGTCCCTCTGCGCTGAGGTGCTGCTGTCCTGTCCTCAGCAGGCTTAGGAGGGAGATTTTAGAAAACAGAGCAAATCTGGAATATTGGCAAAGATTTTTTTTTTTAAAATAAGACCAAAAATTAGAGACTGGAGGTAAGGAAAGATCACAGAGTCACTCAGGTTGGAATAAAATTTGCATTTAGTCCTGGCCCCAGTGATGCACGGGGCCAGTCTCATCCCTGCTTTTTGGAAGGGCCTTCAGCTGCTGCTGCTTTTTGGGACCCACCAGCCCCGCTGAGAAGCTCCCCCATGTCCCCCGGTGGCACTGCCCCGAGGAATTCACGTGGGACAGGGTCCCCAGGCAGGGCTGCTCCATCCAGGCACATCTCAGGCCCTCGGCTGTCTGTCTCTCCCCAGAAGCCTCCGCTAGCTGCCAAGCTCCTTGCAGAACTCCCCGACGAGGCTCGCGTGGTGGCCGGACGCTTCCCCTTCCCGTCGTGGACCCCGAGCAGCACCCTGGGGCAGGGGCTGGAGCAAGCCTGGGCCTATGACATGAAGGAGGTGCGGCGCGCGGCGCGGTGCGGAGGGACACCCGGTGTCACGGCACCTCCTGGAGCCTCTCCCACCGGTGGGCTCAGCCCAGGAGAGCAGTGAGAGGGAGGGAGAGAGCGGTGCTTGGCCAGGCTTTTTCCCCACCCCATCCAAAAAAAAAGGGGGGACTTGGTCCCTCCGTATATTCCAGAGTGGTCAGTTTGGGGGAGGGAAAATCAGATCCAGAACGATCACACGATTTAAGGGCTACATCTCCAGTGCCTCTTTCTGTCCGATTGGTGATTTGGGATAATTTTTCCAAATAAACATTTGGACAGTTCTTCCCTCGAGACTTTTGCTGTGCCTTTGAGCCGCAGGGGGGGCTTTTTCTGCCCAGAGCCAGGGCAGCCTCAGGCTGTGCCCCGATGTCCCTTTGAAGCTGGAACAGGACGGCCGTCTGTCCGGCCTGCCTCCCACTGCAGGATTTGGTTTGGCCCTGCTCACGTTACGTGGCATTCTTTCTTCCACTCAAACACAGAGAAAAAAGGTTTTCTTCCCACGTTCAAGTGCACCTTGAACCATCCCTGGCCTCTTCAAGCTCAGCAGGGAGCAGAGGCAGGAGCAGAGCTCGCCTTTAGAGCGAGGCTGACCCGGGAGAAACGCTGTGGCAGCGCTCTCAAGGGCAGGAGCAGGGACCTGTCCCTGCAGTCACGCAGCAAAACGCTGCCCAGGAGGCTGCCCCCGTGTCCCTCGTCTTGGTGTGCTCAGGGAGCAGCAGAACTCTTCCTACAGCTGAGGGGTCAGGGGCCAGGCACGGCGCAGTTGCCCTGTCCCATTTTAGTAGCGTTAATTTGAGACTGAGCACACCCACGTGGGGCCCTGCGCTATGCGTCCCAGCTCTTGGCCAGGAAAGGAGCCTCAGCCAGCCTGCAGAACAGAAAGCCCCCTTCTTTTAAACTGTTTCTTTTTTTTTTTTCCCTACAATCGTGCTGCTTTGTGGAGCCGCGGGGAAGAGCTACAGTCCCTGGCTGGGGGTCCGTCTGGATCCGGGCAGCAGGGGAGCGTCTGCCGCCCCCGCGCTGAGCGTGCGGGGTTCCTTGTTGCCAGCGAGCGTCCTCAGCCGGAGGATCTCCTGCTTGTACCTGCAGCAGGAGAGCAGCAGCGTTATCCCCCCCTGGTCAGGGCCCTGCGCACAGCTCATGCACAGAGGTGGTCAGCTCACACCGACACTTTCTTGTGCGCTGAAAACACGCTTCATCGTTTAACGATGCCGGGCAGCACAGGTGCTGAGCCACACTGGGATCTGAGCAGCCACAGAGGGAAAAAACACAGCTTTTTCCCTGGGAAAAGCTGCTTGTCACCTCTGCCAGGTAGCAGTGACAGCAACTAGCCCACGAGGCTCCAGCTGGGCTGATTTGCGCCTTGCGTGGGGCGCAGAGCCGGAGCACGGCTCCGACAGATGCGCTCTGGTTGTCCTCGCCCTTCCCTGCCCCAGCAGCTGTTCCTTCCCCCTGCTGCAGGGCACGATAAGCCAGTGGGAAAGCACAGCAGATCAGGGCTTGCTGGAAGGCGTTGGATTTTAGGCAACTCCTCTCTTTACCTCCTCCAAAGGATGGGCCAAATGCGCCCCCCAGCACGCAGAGTGAGGCACGGAGCCAGTTCCTGCACAGCTGGATGAGCTGTGTGACTCTGGCTGTGCCAGGCAGTGCTGTGGGAAGGTGGCAGCAAGGTCAGGCCCTGGCAGGGTGCTGGGCACCGCCGTGTCTCTGGCAATTAGCCGGGGAGGTAAACTTGGAGCAGGAAGCAGAGAGCACGTGAAGGGGGACCCCGCTGCCTCACCTTGCAAGATGCTTCTCCACGTACTCCTGCAGCTCCGACACCTGCTCTTCTGCCACGATGGCCCGAGTCAGCAGCTGGCTTCTCTCCTTCTCCAAATCCTCCTGGAGGGGCAAGGAAAGCGTGGAGAAATTGGGGAGTGCTGTGAGACGGGAGGGAAGTCGCTCGGCCCCTCTCTGCCAGGAGGGACTGAACGCTCTGGCTCTGGCACAGCTTGGCACGAAGCTGCAGAGGCAGGCAGGAGACTGACGTGCTCTGAGAAAGGAGCCTGGTGACAAGAGCCCAGCCTCCAGCAGGCTCAGCCACTCTTGGCCACCGGCTGTGCCAACCAGGTGAGCTCTCCTTGAGCAGACCACAGGCACAAGGACCTGTGCCACCCCAGGACACACAATAACCCTCCCCTGCCAATCTAATTTTCCCTCCCGAGAGCTCTGCTCTGTTTCCAAAGCCCTTCCTCTACTGCCCCAGGTTTGGCAGTCTGTGCCAGCGATCCCCTTTCTCCCCAGCAGCCCCACTGCTGTGATCAGGGCTGGACAGCAAAGCCCACCTGTGCCAAGTCCGCTCACAGAGAGCATCTCCAGGCTCCTGGCTGCCACCCCATTCCTGAGTGCAGTGCAGATACCTTTGCACCCTGAGGGAACCAGACTGCGAAGCTGATTCAGATTCAAACCAGACTTCTCATTTGAACCAGGTCAAGAACCTGTTTGTTACACAGATACCTAAATCCTTGTGCTGAAACAAGACATGGAACAGTACAGACCAACAACCTGCAGCCGTAAGGGCTGGCCTGCTTCTTTCAGGAGCTGTGAAAGCACAGCCTCGGTACTCAGCATCACTTGGTCAAGTGCTAGTCAAGGTTACAGCTGTGGCCAGAGAAGGACCCAGCACCTCTTTGACACATGAGCAAAAGCCGAGCTTATTTCAGGTGGGCTCCTCCGGCCCTTTACCTGGGTGCTGTGCGTGAACTCCCGGAGCTGCTTCCTGACCTCTGCCCAGCCCTCCTCATCCAGCTTCCTAGGAGAGAGAAGCAGATTTTGATCTTGCACGGACTTTCAAAGCCAGCCCATCTGCAAGCTGCACGGCTCTGTGCGGAGGCTGGAAGCGTTTCGTGTCCAGCAGAGCATAAAGCACAGAGCGCCAAACCTTTTCTATCCCCGTGGCCCCAACTTCGGGGCGCGCAGCGCTGTCCCTGTGCCCAGGCGTGAGAGTCACAGCCCCTCTGCCAACCTGGCTTTCCCGCTGTGATGGCTGGATTCGTGCCAAGCTCACATCAACACTCATACATCAGAGGACTCCAAGCAGAAAGAGTCATTAACCTGACACTGCAAGGCTGAACTTTATGGAAATGGAGAGCGGGGTATGATCAATGCCAAGCGCTGGCGCTTTTCATGTGTGCGAGCGCAGACCCGCTCGCCCTGAGCGCTGGGTGCGATAGGTGAGCTGTCTGCGCAGCCCAGCCGTGGGAAAGTCCTTCCCATTCTGTCCCAGTCTGAACGAGCAAAATACAGGTCACATCTGATGCTCGGGGAATTTTGGTTGTATGAACTGAGGAATGCATTGTGCTCAAGCACGGCAGCCTGCAGACCCGAGCCCGCTCTGCTGCGGCCGCGCGAGTTCCCTCTGGTGGCTGCAGTCACCCAGCCCGGGCGCATGGAAAATCGTGGCTGAAAGAAGTTTCATGGGAGCAGAAGTTAAGGGAACAATAAACAGTGAAGCCACACATCTGAGAAAGACAAGGAACACGACGATAGTTACAGGACTGTGGTTACAGCAGGCTTTGTGTCTCTGCTTAGAGCAGCAGGATAACAGCTCTGGTAAAAACCATCGGCACACAGAAGTGTTTTCTGTGTGTTTTCAGGTTCTGGTACTTCTCTGTCCTGCTCCTGTGCTGAGTCTGTCAAAATTAATGTCTCTCTTTAAGCATTGCTGTTATTTATCAGCATCAAAACCAGTGGTAGGCTCTGGTAACTCTTCTCCAAGAGACTCCGCTGGAATCCAGTGGCTCAGGCACTGACCAGCTCCTTGGCACTGTTACTGCAGTACCTGGCATGTTTTCTAGGCTACCACATTTTAAAAGGCAGAAAAATCCCAGCCTGGATTTCTCTTAACACTTTGTTCTCCCACTCCATGGTTACAGCTGGTAGAGCTTCAGCAGAAGAATGGAGTGGGGGGAAGAGATTGATCAAAAGGAGCAAATAAATGGCATGTCAGGAACCCAGGGTGGTATCAGGACAGGATCACTGAGGGTTCCTGCCCAGCTTCTGAGCTGGGAGGGAGGAGAAACAAGACTGTCCCAAGCTGGTGTAGTTTCACTGGTGTTTCTTGGGTTGTGATCCACCAACGCCCTCAGCCGTATGCTTAACTTCAGCTTCCGAAGAGATCAGTGGGACTAACAACATGATTAAATCAAATATGTGCTTAAGAGCTTTCTTGGATCAAGGCCCAAATGACCAACTCATTTCACCACAGGAAATGCTGCACAGAGATGACAGCTGGCTTTTCTTAGATGAGTTCCTATAAGCTCTCTTTCTCCCTATTTATTACTGTCTCCAAGTAATGCAGAGAAGACCCCTCAGTCCATACAGCAAGGAGAACTCAGCATTTTGAATATCCCAAGAAACAGACAGGACTTACTGCTCAGATGGCAGCTGAAGGTCAGAGGTTTCTTTCATTTTTTTCTGAAGGCAAAGGAAGAACAGTACCTCTGTAAGCATTAGAACATTGCAATCTCACCACAGTCCCCACCGCTTTGAAGAAAGTGGAACAAGTGTCCCAGCAGTCTAACACTAAGAGTGTTGACAGGGAAGTGATGAGCAGGACAGTCTTAAGGTTTAGGTCTCCCATCCCATTAATGTTTAAATAAGTGCATCTCACACAAATCAAGAAAGATGTCCCTGCCCAGGCAGAACCACTGGGAGGACGTGGAGCTCACTGGTGTGCTTCTGAGCGTGGTCTCCTGCTTGGACAGCCCTGAGTGAGAACGGGATCAAGCACTAGTCCGTGTCACAGAGACACAACAAACCCTCAGGGGACGCAGCTCAGAAATGGGGAGAGCTATCCTACTGCTCTGTCTGTTGCTGGTGAGACTCCCCCCCACCCAGTTTCACTGCTGCAGCCACTACCTGCTGCAATTCCTGTAGCTGCAGCTCCAGTTTCGTTTTGTGCTCCCGCAGCCGGTTTAGCTCCTGGGTTGTGTTCGTCAGCAGCTCCGGGTCCGTGATGGCAAAGTGGAGCTCAGCGGGGCCGGAATCCATATCGCTGCTGCCCAAGGAGCGGATCTGCTCTCGCTGCATGCTGTAACAACATGCCAAGAGGCGTTAGACTCTTTTTTTACCTTTGGTGAAGTAACAGCGCTGAGCATTGATGCTGCTGGCAGTGCCATTTGCTTGGGACCTGCTGGCTTCTGGCCACCTGGAAAGGGTAGGTGGGAGAGCCCAGCAGCATATGCAATATTCCTGGGCATGCTGAGGGCAGCTCATCCTATTTGTGGCCTTTAAGCCACAAATTTCTGCTGCTTGCCACAGCCCAAGCGGCTGAGAGAGCCGTGGAGAAGAGCTGGGAACACTGCAGGGAAGCAGGACATATTGGTGGCACCTCTCCATTTCCACATCATCCAACATGGATTCAGTCTCTTGCCCTAAATTTTGCACGGGAGGAACGTGTGCACAGAGCAGCTCCAGTGCATGCAGAGCACCTGGTGTGTGGCTGGAGATACCTTGCTCCTGGTGTGTCAGGAGTATGGAGATAAGCATGAACTCCAGGACCTCAGCTCCACCTGGGAGCCCCGTTTGCCTCCCTTGCAGCAAGGGGACTGGGTGCTAGCACCATGGGGCACTTCCACCAGGTCCCTAGCAATAACCTGAAGAGGCAGAGGTAGCCCAGACCCTGTTTTAGCCCTGCCTGTACGCAATCAGCAGGTTCTCATGCTTCTTGACCAAGTTTTTCATGCGTTTCTTGTAGGCACGTGCTGCTCCAGCTAGCTGCTCCTCCCGAGACTTGTAGGAAGCCCTGATGTCCTTCAGCATGCTGTCCACAAAGTGCTTCATGTGAGCTGGGGCTTTGCTGGGCTCTGTCCGGTCGCTGGATTTGCTGTCCATGTAATCCTTTAAACATACAGAGAAGGAAATGGAAGTGATCGAGTCTTTCCCTGTACGAGTAACCCATTTCCCACACCGAAGGTCCAGGAATATTTGTGATGACAGCACTCAGAACAGGGCATATCTTCCATTTTCTAAGAGCAGGGAAGACTAATTAATTTTCATCAACCCCCTTTTGAGGCAGAGAAGGCACACTGCTGTCAGTGACCCTGTATCACGGATCCATCTAGGGGAACATGAGTGCGTCAGGAGCCAACATCTCTAGTCCTGTATTCTTTCTGCTGTGCCCTGCTCCTTCTGTTAGGAGATACCCTGACAGAAATCAAGCTCTTCTTCACAGTAAAAAATGCTTCTGCATTGTTAACCTCTTGGCACAGCAGTTCCTGCCAAAAACTGCTTACCTATGGGGGTAGAAACCCTATGGGGTTTTCTTCCCAGCCACTGATGGATGCAAGCAGGTACCCATGCCTGAACCTGCCTGAATCTCCTGCTTTGTGCCAAGTCCTCACTATGCTCTGTGGGCCCTACTCTACATCAGAGGTGCTTGTTTCTTCCCAGAGCAGGTCTGCAGGTCCCAGGCACTTGTGTTACACGGGTCTGTGCTGACCACAGAGGCTGGCAAAGCTTCCCCTGAGGACAGCAGCAGGGGCACCGTGGAGGCAGCAAACCGAGGCGGCAACAAAACCCTCAGTGGCACCGCCGGGCCTGCCGAGGGAAGTTGTCAGGGCAATGGGGATTAGGAGCCAACTGGAAGGCAGCCACAGTAAATAAGAGGATCTTTCCATCCAAGTAATCTGACCAAGGAAGATCGTCCCAGCAGAAACTCAGACATTTTCGCGTGGTCGCACGGGAAATCTGGGCTAGGAGAGAGACCGATTCCTGCTGCAAGCACAGCTCCCCAAACCCCAGCACCTTTCTGCCCAGCAGCCCAGCAAGGAGGGGATGGAGCAGACACGTTCTAGAAGCAGGCAGTCAGCAAGGAGAGCCCTCTGCAGGCTGGGGTCTGGGGGTACCCACCGCCAAGTCCTTGACGTGCTGCGCGAGCCGGGAGCGGTACTGCTCGTTGAGCTCCTTCAGACGCAGCTGCAGCCGGGAGTTCTCCGCCTCCACCTCTTGCAGCTGGCTCCGTGAGGTGAGCAGCACCTAGGCACAGCCAGCGTTCACACCGCTGCTCCCAGCCTCCAGCCAAATGAGGGGCACTAAAATGCTCGACAGGGAATGGGGACTTCAGTTTCCCTACAGCAGGGAGGTTGGGAAGGGCCTGGGTTTTCACGCAGGAGCTTACCAGCAATATTTATTCTATATCGCTCTTCTACCTTTGATCATTTGCAATCCCCTGCAAGTGGCTTCTCCAGCTCTTTTGTAACATCAGTGAACAAAATTCCTCCCACCCCAAGCAAGCAGCACATCCCACCAGGTTATGCTCACTGCACCTCGTGTCCCAGCCACGGGAGGGGAAGGGAGGGAGCCTGCCCTTACTGCTGACTGCTCCGCCAGTTTGCGCTGGGTGTCCCGAATTGCTCGCTTCGCCTCCTGCAGCTCCTTCCCCACGGCGATCCTGTGCACACAGAGAGCAGGCACGTTTATTTCAAACCCCCAAACGTCTCTGCAGACCCGATACCTCCAGCTTTGAGAAGGAAATCACTACTAACAACACAAATCTCTAAGCGGCTGCTTACACATTGAGCAGCTCTGCCACACATTGACCACAGATTTTCAAGGCCAGTTGTGTACCTAAACAGACTTTTAAGGAGACATCTAACACTCTTAAGATCCTCAAAAACATCAGCTTTTACTTCCAGGCCTTGCTTATAACAGTCATTTGCCACCCTGTACCCCACCAAAGGGAGGCTGCCTCCACTCCTGTTTGCCAGGATCACATCCAGCTGCAGTGAGACCCCAAAATGCCCAGCTGGGTAAGAGAAGGATGCGTGTGCCTCAAACACTCACACTTGCTCTTCCAGCTTCTGCTGCTGCGAATCATAGGTTTTCTTCAGATTTTCAATCTCCACTTTTATGCGATCCTGGTTTCCAAGCAACTGAGGGACAAGCGAACAGGAAGATGAGATCGAGGGCTGACATAAACAGAAGGATTCTTCAAGAGGGAGAAGGTGAGGAGAGCCTCCAGCTAGCCCAAATCCAGCTGATATGGGAAACACACAGGGGAAAGGACGAGTTTAGTGACCAGTGCTCTGCAGCACACCAGAAATGACATTTGATCTGGAGAAAGGGCACGTGGAGGGGCACACGTGTCGCTCCTCCAAGTGAGATTCTCACTCTGACAGTCAGATTCTCATCAGGAGCTGGTGGTGGAGCCCAAGCTGGTACCACACAGGCTGCAGATGGAAACAAGGCAGGAAATATCTCTTGTGCTCTCATTTTTGGGTGCTTATCACCCTCATCTATTTCAAGCTTCAGCAAGAAGAAAATAACCAAGCATCCCCTGCACTTGTTGATTTTAAACTCCTGCCTCTTCTCTCCAGTGGGCACTGACTGAGGGAACCACATGTTGCCCTGCACGAGGCAGGAATTATTCTGATCTCAACCGCATGGCTTAAAGAAAAGAAAATAAACCAAGGCACTAACCCATCCACAAAACTCAAGTTAGTACCAGGAGCTGCCAGCCACACCCCAAATAAATTCCCCCCTCTGCTTCCCCAAGGGCCCCACAGCAGAACCCACACACTCACATTTTTTTCCAGGTTTTGCTGCTTGTGTTCAGAGGCAAGTGCATCTTCTGGCTGATTTGAAGAAGAGACAGAAGAAGGTACCTTTAGACCCCTGTTCTCCAAGGAGCTCAGACTGGGGACAGGGCAGAGAGGTCCTTACCTTCACCTTCTGAGCAGAGACACGGCGCGCCACTGCTCGCACTCTTCCCGGCTCAGCAGAGGGCTCATCGGCTGCGGTGTGGGAGAGGTGGTGGTAGCTCCCTGTGCCGGGAAGGGTGCTCTTGGCATTGGCCAGGTTGAGCAGCTCTAGGCTGAGCTCTTCATTCTTCAAGACCTGCCAGGTCAAGCAAGAAGGAAAGAGCATCTGAAATCCTGCCTCTCCAGCTCCGCGCGCTGTTTGTTCAGCACGTACCCACTGCTCCTGGTGTGTACACAAAGCAGGCACTCACATCCCCTCCTGAAAGCAAGTTTTATTTTTAGTTCCCTCTCATACGTCCAGGGATATCAGTGATTTTCTGATTCTCATGGAGATGCAGGGCGAGCATCACCGCCAGGCGCCAGGCACGGCACGCAGCGTTATCCACACGTAACCTCACTCTCCCTGCCTGTCTCGCCCTCACGCTCATGTTCAGATAGGAATCGTGGTGCCAGCACACCCTGATGCCAGCCCGACCTTGGGCACAGCTCTGCCAACACTGCTCCATCCTGACCTACAGCTCCCTCCTTACCCCGCTGTACTCTCTGCACAGCTTCCCAACACGTTAGGCATGTCTTTCCCCAAACAATGCCTCTGGACTACATAATGTAAGGGAGAATGGCCAAATATCCATCCATCTCGGCTGACGCCACCCAGCTAATTCCAGTTTTGTCTGAATGCATACCTCCAGAAGCAGCCAGCCCACAGCACCGTGTAGGCAGCGAGATTCAAAGCAGCACTGGTGCGAAGTGACACATTTCCAAAAGATAAAGAGGATCTGAATGAGAAAGGCTCTGTTACAGGTGATCTGGAAGGAACACTGGGGGAATTCATGTCTCACGGGAGGGTTTCTATGTAGATAACAAAGCTTTGATGGAGTTTATGACTGGGGACAAGCTTGAGTAATTGTTACCATGGCAGTGAATCGGGAGGATGGGAGGCAGAGGTCATCTGAGTCATCCGTGTAGAGAATAGCTTATCAAAAGATAGCACAGGGTGGGCTGAGGGAGAGAGGAGAGGAGAAAAGAGGCTGACAAAGAGGTGAGATATACAGCTGTGAAAACTGACAGCTACGCAGAGACAGGCTGCTCGTTCCCCAACCGAAACCGATCCATCTGCAGCTGTCAGCGCCGACAATTTGATCAGAGGGGGTCACACAAGCACAGAAGTACCAGCTTTTTCTTTTTCTTTTTTTTTTTTGGCCAGCCAAAGAAAGAGGCAGTCCCAGGTTTGTGATGGGCTTCTCTGCCTCCCATGTGCTCCAAGTCCTGGCCCTGCTCCAGGGAAAACCCCGGCATGGGACTGGTCCTGGGCTGCTCGGGTTCCCCGCGCCGGCCTCGCTTTGTAGCACCGCTGTGGGCCCTGCGAGCCCCCCGAACAAAAGAGCAGGAGGAAACGGAGAGTTGAGGAAAGGTCAGGGTCCTGAAAAGGAAGAATTTACAGCGTGTTAGAAAACAGGCACAAAGTGTCGGGCTGGCATCTCCTGCAAGGCACTTCCCCAGGGACGGGAAAGGCCAACGCGGCCGCTCTCCTGCGCCTGGGACAGACCCAGGGCGATTTGTGAATCGCGGCGTACAATGGGGGCTGTAACAATTCCGAGACTCTAACTGTTCCCTACAAGGGACCATGAATGAGCTCGCGGAGCTGCTTCTGCGCCAAGCAGCCATGACAACATATTGGCAAGGTCACAAGTAGCACTTGTAATTGGGAATGTGTAAAAGGTTCATTGTGTCCCGCGAAGAGCTCCGGGGAAGGGGAGGGGGCAGAACCGCAGGCTGCTTTTGCCATTTTCTTTGGGAAAGTCCGCACTGGGAAAATAATGAGCAAGAGGCCCATGCCGCCACAAGCCCCAGGCTGCCAAGTTGGAGTCTCTTTCGCTTCAGGCAGGGATATTCAGCAGTCAGAGCCAAGACACCGGGGTAAAGTCCTCACCCTACCGATTACACCCGAGGATTTCACCTTTGGCTTCTGATCCCTGCTCCACCGCTCCAGGCTGCTATCCGAGCATGTACCTTACTCCATGTGCCTCGCTTTTCTCTGAAACACTCCAGGATCCACGTGAAAACAGCGCATTATTACCGCTAACCCCTTAAAACCATCATTCCGGGATGTCAGCAGCCTGAAAATCCGATTTTTGACTAACACACTGCACCCCCTTGGGGACGACAAGCCAAAGAGATGGCTGAACACCGAGCTACTCCTCCGTGAGCTGAGGAGCTCCGTGAGCTCTGTCTCGGCAGCGTGCTGGCAGGCAGTGGCATGCGCTCTGCCTCGTGCTCCTGGGGCAGCAGGGGCTGGAGGGTGGGTTTGCACCCTGCGAGCAGCCGAGTTGGCTTCCTCATGAGCAGTTTCTCAGCTTATGACAAATAATAGCACGTGCGTGCACCCTGTGTGCATCCCAGCTGCAAGGTGCCACAGAGGAGTTGAAATTGGCTTTTCACTTCCCAGCTGGAGCCGGCTGGGAGCCGTACCCCACTCACTGCCACGTCCGTGTGAACGGGTCACTTCACAAGTCCCTAATTCATCGATTGGCAACCGGATGGTTGTGACCTTGTATGCTCCTCTATCTGAGCTCTACCTGATGCTCATCATATAGAGAGACTGGACAGACACGGACAAACGCACTTGGTGGGGCTTTGCCAGTTGTGGGGTGACATTTAGTGTCAATCCTGTATAAACTAGTGTGCCCCACATCTTCCCATCACAGGGCCAGCACGGTAAACTAGGTCATTTGGCTGAACCAGCTGAAATATCTGCCGAGGAGGGAGGCAGGAGTGTGTCAGTCATCCGATCCAATTCAAAGAGAAGGAGAAGTGGGAGGGGGGAGAGGGAGGGAAGTGGGGAAGGTCTATTACAGTAGCTATTCTTGCCAAAGGAATGCACAATTCTGGGATGCAAAAGACTTTAGTTAATCATCACTAATTTAATAGTCACCAGGAAATTCACTGCATTTTAAGGGACAATCAGAAACTTGATTATATTTCGTGGTTTTATAAACTTGTCAACTTCAAAAACTTCTAGGCCCCTTCCTGCCACCAAGTGAGATGAGACAGACTAAAAATCCATTCCCGTGCAGCCTGTGCAAGCCATGCAGAAAAAAAAGGGAAACAAAGCGTGCTGGCAGTCCAGAGGGACCTGAAACGTGCACCCAGACCAGACCTGCAACACCCTCCTCTTTGCATGGCTTGGGGTGGGGATGTAGGGTAAGGGGAAAAGGGAAGACTCCGCTAACAGGAGCGCAGTCACAGGGCAGCGTGGGCACAGCGCTGCTCCTGGCTTGGTAAGCAACCCAAAGACAGCCTTAGATTGGGAAGTTGTGGGGTGGAGCGGGGAACACCGAAGCTGTCTCACCTCCTGGTCGAGCTCTTTGCCCAGGGCCAGGTAATTGCTCTTCAGAATGATGTACTCGTCCGCCAGCTCCTTACGGCTGGTCTCCAGCGTGCGCAGCCGGTCCCGCAAGGCGTCCCGCTCCCCGGTGACTTTCTCACTGCGGAGCTCCAGCTCCAGCACACGGTTCTCCAGGGACAAGATCTGCAGAGGGGGGGCAGCAGAATTAGACCAGCAGCTATAATAAAGCATTTATTTGTTCAAACAGGCTCTAGCATGAAGGGAGATGAGTTTCACATGAATTTCTCAAGTATCTGGGGCAATGGGGGTAATTCACTACTCTAGCTAAAGAAAAGCGAGTGTGCCAAACAAGAAAAGATCCTGGATAAAGGTATCTGGCAGAGCTGAAACCTTTTGCATACCATATTTTTCAGTTCAAAGTTCTCTGTCTCATACTGCTCCTTCATTTTGTTTGTCTCAATCTGGAGATCAATGAGTTCTTTGGAAATCTAGGGAGAGAAAGGACGTTATAAAAAGGTCATGGACTGACTCTGAGGCCAGCACATTATCTCAACAGGTTGCAGCAGGGAATTAGAGCCCAGAAGGTGCTGAAAGGACCCACAGTTGCACCTTTTACCTGAGCGCTAGCAGAAGAGGAACACTGCTGAGAGCCGAGATCAGCTCCCAGTACTGCGTTTTTTTGCCACTGAAGCATCCTGTCCCACAGACACACCAAATAAGAAGGCAAAGACACAACCCTCAAAGAGGAAAAGCTAAAGAGAATCAATCCTGAGGTCCTGGCCTCTTTCAGAAGGAAGAGGTGTGGGAAGCCAGTGAGACCACAGTCAATCTGAGCTTATTCCAGCCTAAACACCTCCAGGGAGCAAACGGAGGAGCCTGGGTTTTGGAAACACATACACCTCTGGAAAGAGGCCCCAGCATTTCCCACCAGATTTTTCACTGCAGATCCTATCGGGCTCATACAGCTTCACGGCTCAGTTCTCTCCAACTCCCCAAGTATCTCTTTTACCTTCAGTTTTTCCTCTTCACTGAAGACCATTCTGGCTGACAAATCTGGTTTGGAGCCAGCCAGCGTCCCCATCCTCTCCTGCAGGTCTCCAGGCCCCATGTACAGCCTCTCATTCCTATCCTGCAGCTGCACCTAGAGACACAAAACAGCTCCGACAGCCAGTGCCAGAGAGCAGAGCTCTCCTCTCCTGTCACCGTGCTGATGGAAGAGAAGAGCACAGCATATCCTGCAAGAAAATGCAGCTTCTCAGAGCTTTAACAGATAGCAGATGGGATTTTCAGCTGCCATTTTCCTCCTGTGGTTAGGATTTCATTTGCAGAGCACTGGTCCAGTGACCCAGGAAGGGGCCGCAGACCTTCATACTCACATTTTTGTTAGCGAGATGCTGCACCTGCTCTGTCAGAGCATTTACACTCTCCTTCTCTGCAACGCTTCCAAAATCCATGTGCATGAGACTCAGTGCTCGCAGGCTAGGGAGACTGAAGAGCAAAGGCAGGGCCTAAGGATCTCTGCGGCAGCGACTTTCCCCTCTAGGTCCAGCACAAGCGACGTTGCTATCAACTTTGGTTGCTAGAGGGTGCAGCATCCACCTCGATCTGAGGTGGAGCCAAGTGTTGCAGCCAGCCCCGGGGCTGTTAGAGCAGAAGAAATGACAGGGGTCAGGAGGTATCTGTGTTCCTAAGACAGCACGGGTCAGATACTCAAGTGAGGAGCTTAGCAGACACCACAAACGAGGTAATGCTGTCAGTGAGGAGGTGCTGCTTCGTTTGTATTTGTTACAAACCCAAAGCCACTCTGAAGGGATGGCTTCCGTCTCTACCACAGGGATCTTTACAGGATTTCAGATCTGGATCTCAGTTTCACAACTCAGGCCTTTAAGCCAGCCAGTATGTCCCAAGACTGTCCTGTAGCATCTAGCATCAGCCAGCTTCCCTGCATTTTTGTCTTATCTCTACAGTACTTGTATCTCTTGTGTCACCTAGGAAGGACAGCACACAATTATGAAAGGCCAATGAACTGCCCAAAGGGGATCAGGACTTTTCAGCTCTGACTGAGCTACAGCTGGTGACAGGGAAGACCTTCCCAAATTTATCAGCAAGATGCAATGTTGAAAAATGCAAATTTTAAAGCAAAACGCACACTGAAAGAAACTGCTACAAAAGCTAGCTGTGTGCTGAGAACAGCCGAGGACACAGGAAGAAGCTCCCTAAATCGAGCAGTGCTAGCAGCTCCCTGAGGAGGAGCTGCTTCCCTTACAGCCGCAGCTGAACTTTGACTTGCTGCAGACTCGGAGGAATTTGCAGCAGCCCATTTGTCAACGTTCGCTCATGGTTAGAGGCGCGCTGAACCCTGATGGGCCCAGACAGGGCTAAACCTGGACTGTGCCGGTCCGCACTGCATCGCCGAATCCAGCTGGCAACCTTCCAGGCACAACTGGGATATCTCCCAAGGGTGCACAAAGCTACAAGTGCTTGAACAGAGCCCCTGACACACAAGCGAGGGTTACAGAGAGTGTAAGGCACAGTGGTAATGCTGGAAAAACTTGGGGGATGGCAGTCAGGGGGTAAAACAAATGCTGTTTTTTCATCTAATTTCAGGCTTATTATCTCTATTTCTGTAGAGCAGGCGAGTTTAGGTATGAAATTGTCTCTTAAGAAAAGCGTTGATGATACAACATTCATAAAGACCACAGCTCTGAATAACTTGTTAGTAGCTAAGCTAAATTTATGACCGAGGGAGAGGGCCCATCCTGATACAAGCACGATGCCAAGCATCGTTCACCAGCTCCTCACCAGTGGCATCTGGTCCCGGCTGCTGTCAAAGATCCTCTAGCACCTCAAAGTGGATTTCATGAATGGCCGTGGATGTGTGACCCAGCGGCAGAGCCCTCTGGGGGCTTAGGGGAAGGAGAAACTAATGAAACATGCAGCTAACATCTTATTTTTCTGCAAAAGAACAGAATAGCCCCGAAGTAATTTTATTAAGGTAATGAAAGCGGGGATGAGAATTCACAGTCTCTTCACACCCACTGCCGAGCAGAAAGCCAAATTCACACACGCCCACAGCACCAGAGCGCTGGGAAGCAGGCAGCGGGCGCTCGGGCACGCCGGGGAGAGGAGCGGGGCCGCAATGCCCCGGCACAGGCGGGGGCCCACGTGTGGCCAGGGCCCACGCTGGCGCAGGGACACGCAGCAGGATGGCTCCTGAGGGGCGCCTGCTCCACCTGCCAGGCTTCGCTTGGCTCGTCACGGCACGGTGAGGCTAATTAAATAACACACGGTGTTATTTATGGACCTATGCTGGCTGGAGGGCCCAGCTCGGAGCAAAGCCACCTCGGTGCTGGGTGCTGCACCCACACCAGACACAGCAGCGATGTTTTTTTTCCCCTGGTTTGGAAAGACGAAGGACAGACGCTGTCCTCACAGCACTGGTGGCAGAGGGGCAGGCAAGGCTGGCTTTGGTCTATCATTGAGACCCAAAGCCTGTATCCAGCGAAAACCAACCACCACATAAAGAATGACAACAAACCCATGAAACCCAGATGTGCTTTATTAACCCACAAAGGGCAGAAATGGTAACTCTGCACCGCGTTTTCCCTTCGCTCCAGAGTGCGAGGCACATGGAGGAGGTCAAACAAGCCTGCACCTGGACATGGCTCTAAAACAGCTCAAGGGGGAACTGGGGCAGGCCTCGGACACCACAGCGCCGGCCCTGGCAGCACGGGGTGCGCCGGGAGGGCTCCGGGCACCGGGCTCGGGGCCTCCCGCGGCCTCCTCCCGCAAGGCCAGGCCTGGCCAGGCCGCGCCGCGTTTCCATAGCAACGGGCGCGGGGGCACTTCCGGGTGGCAGGCGGTGTTGTTGTTGCGCCCCCTGGCGGCCGGAGGCCCTGCGCCCCTCCTGTGCCCCCAGTGCCCCACCAGTGTCCCCAGTGCCCCGCCAGTGCCACCAGTATGGGCCTGCACGCCCCAGGCTGCAGCGTCCCACCACGGGCTGGGACCCCAGGGTGGGCAGGGAAGGGGACTGGGGGTGGGCAACTGACTTCCTGAGAGCTGAAATAGGTCCAAAAGTGCTTTTTTTGGTGATTTCGCTGCTCGCCCTAATACCCTTACAGCCCTCTCCATAGCAACCAGGGCAGGACTTTGGTCCTGCCTGAGCACACCGAGGGCCACAGTACCGGGAGGAGGAGGCTGTGGCACTGGGGACCCCCGGCCAAGTCCCCACGGTGGCACCGAGCCCCTCCTGGTCCCTGGGGTCCCGAGCATCCCGAGAGGATTTGGGAGACGAGGGCCTGAGGACAGCGTGGGAAAGGGGCTGCTGCTTTCCCCATCGCCGTTTGTTTGCTGTTTGCCCAGCGAGAGGCTCTCTGAGCCCGGCCGTCACCTTCCCAGCGGCTGCTTTTAAAATTTACCCCGTGGGTTTTGTGGGTTTTGGCCGGCGGGGCCGTGCTGGTTCAGCTGTTTGTGGCTCCCCCATTGATTCCGCCTTGTGTCAATATGTGCTTAGCGCCCGGCGGTGGGGGCGCCGGGCTCCATCGCCCGCTTCTCCCTTCGGATCTATAATTTCCCAGAATAGAAGATTAAAATAGAGGGGGAGGAGAGCGCTGCTGCGGGCCAAAAAGAAACGGGAAAAACATTTCTCATTTAGCCGGGCTGCAAAGTTCGATCGCGTTGAGCAAAGAGCCGCCGGCATCCCTCGCCCGCTCACCCTGACACTTGTTCCCATGGGCACGCTCCCCGGTTTTCCACCGTTTCAACCCTCTGCCAAAATTAAAGAACGGGGACCTGAGAAGTCCCCTGCGAGCCAGGGGAGGACAAGGTGTGCTCTGTGGGGACGGAGAGGTGGCAGCAGGGACAGGCCCCCCGCCAGCCCGGCTGCACAGCATCACTGTCCCCGCATTGTCCCCGTCCTCGTCCCCAGGGACTGGCACGAGGCAAGCTGCAGGAGCTGAAGGGCGAGTGGGGGTTTTTCCCTGGGTTCATCGTGTGGCTGATACCGGGGAGCCAACGGGGCTCCTCCAGCTTGGGCACCAGCGACCTTTTTTTTTTTTTTTTTTTTTTTCCTGGAAATTGGTAAAGAATTCTTCGGAAGCCACATTGGACGCAGGCAGGTGGGGAAAATGACCTGGGATACAGGACGGGGTCAGAGCTTCCCCACGGACCTGGGGAGCTGCCAGGTGGCTCCGGCAGGGGAGCGCTGCCACCAGCACCCACGGGGACATCGCGGGCTCGGGGCTGCCTTGGCTTCCCGCTGCCAGCCCTCGGCTCTCCGCACGGACACACAGAGCTGGGGCGTTTGGGCATCACCGGGGTGCAAACCAGGACCCTGACGAGGAGAAAAGCTCCCACTGGAGCATTTTCCATTCCCTCCAGCACTATGGGGAAGGGACATTGATGGGAAGCCCCCAGCACAAAGCCCCCTACGTGAAGGAAGGAGCGAGCCCTTCTGGTGGCCTCTGCACGCGCTGCACCACACCGCAGTGCCCGGGCTGTGGGGACAGCCCACGCTGAGTGCCCTTTGTGCCCCCAGCACGGCCACCGGGACACGGGTCTGGCACCGTGCTCACCCCACCAGCACCCTCAGCAAAGGGTTGGTGCCACCCGGTGGGGACCCTGCAGGAGCCTGGGGCACAGCCACGGCCATCCCACGAGGTGCCCTCATCCTTCTGCCTCTCCTCACCGCCCACCCAAACCCCATCCCAGCAGGAGCATCGTCCCCCAGGACCAGCTCCCGGCGTTTCACCTCGGCTCCTGGTCTCGGCGCTCCCGCAGACGTCTCCGTGTGCCCCTGCAGCTGGGACAAACACCGCCACGGAGCAGGGGGAGAAGCCCTGTGATTGTCCCTTCTCTCTCCGGCCGTGGCCGAGCCCAGCAGCGGCAGGGTTAAGGCCAGCGGCGGGCGCTGGACGGGCGTCAAGGTGGTTGCTCCATCCCTGCGCGGGGGCCGGGAGCGCGCACGGAGCCGCCCGCCACCATGAGCGCAGGCAGAGGTAAGGCACAGGGAGCCGGGCAGGGCGAGGGGACGCCGGGGGGGGGGGAGAGGCCAAACCCTGCTGGGACTTTGCTGGGTGGCTGCTGGTGACTTTTTTTCCCCCCCTTGCTTTCTGCTGCTCAATACTCAAGCGGGAAGCTCCTGCGCCTGCTGGGGCGCGGTGACGCAGAGCCCTCTCTGTGAATTTGGGGAGGCAGGAGGTGAGGGGACGAGGAGCGCTGTTGCTGGCCTTTCTGGGGGAAGAAGCCACTGCTGTGACATAGGGACAGAGACCCAGGAGGGCACGGAGGGGGGGGACTCGGGACACAGCACTGCGCACGCATAGGCTGGGACCAGCCAGCCCCTGGGTAGGGGGACACCAGTGGCCGCCGTCCCCTGCGGGACACCGGTGCCAGCAGGCATCCCTGCCCCGTGGTGCTGCCAGGTGACATGTGCCACACCACGGTGGCACAGCCCAAGGTGCTCAGGTCCCCCAGCCCTGCGTCGTCCCCTCCGGCACCCATCGCCCTGCACGCAGGGGTCTCCACCCCGCGCTCGCCCCGCTCACGGTCTCCCTTCCCTCCGTGCCCCGCAGCGGGCAGGGCCCCGCTCCTGCTGCCCCTGGCCCTGCTGTTGGCCACCGCGTCCCAGCCCCACGATGGGGACGTCCCCAAGGAGCCCGCGGAGCCCCTGCGCTGCCCCAGCCCCTGCGCCTGCAGCCTGGACGACTACAGCGAGGAGCTCAACGTCTTCTGCAGCGGCCGCAACCTGACGCAGCTCCCCGAGGACGTCCCCGCCAACGCCAAAGCCCTCTGGCTGGACGGCAACAACTTCACCCAGCTGCCGGCCGCGGCCTTCAGGAACCTCTCGGGGTTGGATTTCCTGGACCTGCAGAGCAGCCAGCTGGCCGCCGTGGAGCAGCACGCCTTCCACGGGCTGCGCAGCCTCTACCACCTCCACCTCGAGCGCAACCGCCTCAAGCACTTGGCGCCCCACACCTTCCTGCACACCCAGAACCTCGTCTCCCTCAGCCTCAACAACAACTTCTTCAGCAAGGTGGAGGAAGGGCTGTTTGCCGGGCTCTCCAACCTGTGGTACCTGAACCTGGGCTGGAACTCGCTGGTTGTGCTGCCCGACAAGGTTTTCCACGACCTGCCCAACCTGAGGGAGCTGATCCTGGCGGGGAACAAGCTCCCCTACCTGCAGCACCAGCTCTTCTGCAGCCTTACGGAGCTGAAGGAGCTGGACCTGAGCGGGAACGCGCTCAAGGGCATCAAAATCAACATCTTTGTCAAGCTGCAGAAGCTGCAGAAGCTTTACCTGAACCACAACCAGATCAACGCCATCGCACCCCGCGCCTTCATGGGCATGAAGTCCCTCCGGTGGCTGGATCTGTCCCACAACCGCCTCGTCTCGCTCTTCGAGGACACGTTTCTGGGCCTCCTGAGCCTGCACGTCCTACGCTTGTCCACCAACTCCATCAGCAGCCTGCGGCCCAGGACTTTCAAAGACCTCCAGTTCCTGGAGGAACTGCAGCTGGGCCACAACAGGATCAGGAGCCTGGCCGAAAGGACCTTCGAGGGGCTGGGCCAGCTGGAGGTGCTGAGCCTCAACAACAACCAGCTGCAGGACATCAGGGTTGGGGCGTTCCTCGGGCTCTACAACGTGGCGGTGATGCACCTGTCTGCCAACTGCATCAAATCCCTCCCCGATTTCGTCTTCAAGGGGGTCACCAAGCTGCACAGCCTCCACCTGGAGCACAGCTGCCTGGGCAGGATCAGGGCTGGCACCTTCTCCGGCCTCTCCAGCCTGCGGCGCCTCTTCCTGCAGCACAACGCCGTGGCCGTCATCGAGGACCGGAGCTTCAGCGAACTGCACGAGCTCCTGGAGCTCGACCTGAAGCACAACAGGCTGAGCCACCTCTCCTCCCAGCTCTTTGTGGGTCTGAGCAACCTGGAGTACCTCTTCCTCTCCTCCAACCAGCTCCTGGACGTCTCGCAGGACGCCTTCAGCCCGCTCCAGAGACTTTTCTGGCTCGACCTCTCCCATAACCAGCTGGAGACGCTGGACAACGCCGTCGTCTCCCCCCTGGCCAACCTGCGGTACCTCAGCCTGAGCAACAACTCCCTGGAGACCTTCTCGGTGGGCTTCCTCTGCCCTTCCTTCGCCCTGGAGCAGCTGTGGCTGGGGGGGAACAACTGGCACTGCAACTGCTCGCTGAAGGGGCTGCGGGACTTCTCCCTGCGGCACCCCGCGGTGGTCCCGCGCTTCGTGCAGTCCGTGGCCGAGGGGGACGACTCCCACGTCCCCGTCTACACCTACAACAACCTCACCTGCCGCCACCCCCCCGGCCTCGCAGGCCTGGACCTCCGCGACACCAGTGAGGACAGCTTTGCCCACTGCTGACACGTGCCCGTCCTCGCCGTGCCGGGCTCACCGGGGCAGTGATGGGAGCGACGGCTCCACCGCTGTGTCCTGGACCTGGGGAAGGCGAGGGGGGGGGACAGGCACCAGCTCCACGAACCAAAGTCTTTGAGTCTAGAGGTGTTTAGAGACCAGCACCCATCGCCAGGACAGAGCAAAGCACGCTCCTGACACAAAGCGGGAGGTCGGGTGGCTTCACCCTGTCCCCACAGGTGGGCAGCACCCAACCTCCCTAAGCCCCCACACCTCACCCAGGGCCCCCAGCATCTCCCCCTCCAGCCCCATCCACCAGCAGGACCCCGTGTGTCAGAAAATCAGCACTAGAACCCAGCCCACGGGGTCACCTCCGCCCCGGGTAGGTTTAAGGGTAAAACAGAAATCCCAAATTCCCCGTTGAGCTCCCCTGTCGGCTTGGGGAAGGGGGCGGAGGGCTCGCTTGGAGAGCCCCTTGCCACGGCTGATGCAGGCGGGGTACAGAAAGCCACACACACACATGTGTCACTTACCCGATAAATCGCAAGCAGACAAATAAACCTTTGGAGCTATCGCAACCCGTCTTGTAAGTATGTTTTTTCCAAAGCACGTGCCGCACCCAGCCAGGGCTTCTTATCAGAGCCCCTCGGGGCTCGCAGGCAGCCCAGCTCAGCCCGGGAGCGCGGGTGCTGCAGGCTCCCCACGTCCCCAGAGCCCAGCGGGGCTTGCAGCGAGCTTTCTGCAGGATGAGAGGCTGTGAAGGAAGGACCGGGACCGGGCTCAGTGGCCCAAAATCCCTGCCTGCGTGCGCAGCCAGCAGCCACGGCTCCAATCCCTTCCACACAAGTTTACTGCGGAGCAGGATTTGCACTGCAGGCTCCTCCTGCGCTGTGAGGATCTGAGGATCGCTGCCACCAGCTCCCTGCATGCTGAGAGCCACGAGGACACAGAGGGTTTAGTGCAGGACGGGGCAGGGGCACACGGGTGTCACGGGCCAGGAGGTGTCCGGCCGAGGGAACAGCCCCGCTCTCCAAAGCCTGGATCAGCGAGCAAAGGTCAGGCAAGGCTTCCAGGAAAGGTGCAATTTGGGAAGCCTAACCCGGTGCGAGTCCTAACGGTGGGTGCAGCACGAGCAGGGACAGATGCTCGGGAGACAGCACGGCCAGAGCAGTGAGCTGGGAGCCACCAGGAGCTGGAGGAGCCCCACCTGTGCCAGGGGTGTAGAGAATGGCTGTGGCAAGGATGCTGCAGAGGATTGCAGGGGCTGGTTTTCAACCAGACAAGGGACTGGCAGGATCCAGAAGCTGGCATGGAGGAGGAAAGACACAGCTGAACCCCACCAAGGAAACGCAGGAGATACCTAGGTCTACCTGAAGTGCTTTTAACACCAAGACTCGGCTATGGCGAGGCACAAAGCTGTAGAAAAACAGAAGTCACAGACTTGAATTTTAAGAAAACTGTTTACTGTCTGGAACTTTTAAAAATATTCCTGAGTCACGATAAACCCAAAAAAAAAGACATTGTTTCCAGTACGGTAGGATGCAGGCTTCAGAAGGGTACCAGATCTCCTAAGAATGCCTCCTCACGTGAAGCACATCCCGTGCCCTCAGAGGCACTTCACGTACCAGCAGTGAGGTTTCAGAGCGGGCTGGCTGGGCTCGGGCCCTCAGCACAGCGCCCAACACTGACTGGCCAGCCACTGAACCAAGTACCGTGGCGTGTCACGCAAGGAAAGCAGAAGGCAGCAGCACGAGGAGCTACGACGCGGATTATTTGTGCCATTTGGGCTCAGCAAGGGAGCAGCCACCCACTGGCGCTGCGTTCAGTCATCGTCAGCAGCACCGCAGCGAGCGAGGTGCTGCGGGAAGAGGCTCCACAAGTACCTGGACAACAGCTGGGTGCAGAGGAAGGCGGCGTGTGAGCAGGGTAGGAGCAGCTGTACCGTGTGGGCAGAGCGCTGCCACGTCGAGAAGGCAAGAACCAGGCTGAGCATCCTCTGTGTGAGCCCAAAAAAACCCACGCAGGGGCTCTTCGGATATGGGGAGGTGGGGCATCACTTCCCTTTTTGGGTTGCCATAAGCGGCACCGATGCTGTGAGCCCCCCTCCCTCCGTCATCCCCCACTGAAAGAGCCTCATGGTTAATTAAGCAGCTCCTGCAGCCTCTTCTCTTCCCCAGCAGCACGGGCTGCTGATGGCGCTGCTGGGCCAGGCGAGAGTCCAGCCCCAAACCCTCCTCAGGAGCTCCGCTGCGATGCGCTGTCCAAGACCTGCTGGGCAATGTGAACCAAGGCGGGGAAGGCAGAGCTCTTGGGAAACTCCTGGATGAAGTCTCGGCCTTCCTCCAAGCTCTGGCTAAGTTGGGGGTCCAGGGGAACGGAGCCTGTGGGAGAGAAGGAAAGGGGAGAGTGACTGCTGGCTCACCCCAGGGCAAAGGCCCAGGGTCAAGATGAAGAAATAGCCCTGCCAGAGGCATCTCCGGGGCAGCAGGAAGGACAGGCACTGCCTGCACCAAGCCCTTCAGCAGCTGCTTCTCACCTCCCTCTGCTCCGTGGATGGCAGAGGAGAAAACCAAGAACCACACCTCATCTCTGACCAGCCCCAGGGGCTCCCAGGCCCAGCCCACCCACCCCAGTACCCCCACAGCACCACGCGGGCGTCACCCCCGATGAGAAGGGCTCTGCTCCAGGGGCCACTCACCCAGAAAGGGGACTCCGGCGTACTTGGCCAGCTCCTCGCCTCCCCCTTTGGAAAAGACGTTTGTGCACTCCTGCAGGAGGAGAACCAGCAGCGAGTCATGCACCCAGCACAGAGCCCTGCGCAGCACCAGCTCCCCTCCACCTTCCTGCTGCAGGGCGCTGCCCTCGCCCCCACCTGCCCCCAGCTTTTTGTAGGACAGCAGAACCCGTGGCTTCTTTTCCACAGCTCCCCCAGCAGCTCTTTGTCCCCCAGGTTCACAGCACCACCCCCATGGCGTTTCACTGATCCTATCACCGTGGCGTGCGATGCCCCCAAACGCCCAGGAGCCCCCAAAAGCCCGGCAGCACCAACAAACCCACCGAGCAGTGCGGGCAGACGAAGCCACTCATGTTCTCCACGATGCCCAGCACTCGCAGGCCCGTCTTCTTACAGAAGGTCAGCTCTCGCCTCACGTCCCCCACAGCCACCTCCTGCGGGGACAGCGGGGGTGGTTAGAGGTGCCTGTCCCTCCAGAGGTAGCTCTGGAACAGGCACGCGCGTGGTGGCACACGCGAGGAGGGGAATTTGGAGATGTTGCTGGCCATAACTCGGGCCAAGCCCTTCACTACAGGAGCTGCACACAGGGGCTGTGCTGGAGGATGGGTGACGGCGTTATTTGGGGTGCAAACCCGCCTATCGGCCTTGCCCAAGGGCTCCAGCAAGTTGCCCTACCTGGGGCGTTGTGACTAGGATTGCTCCAAGGGGCTTGTAGGGCCGCAGGGCCTCCACCGTGGAGATGTGCTCGTCAGAGGTGCCCGGCGGCGTGTCCACGATGAGGAAATCCAGGTCCCCCCAAGCCACGTCGGCAACAAACTGCTTTATCAAAGCTGCAGGAATAAAGGGCGCCCCATGAGAGATGGAACTCACCCGGGGAGACAGCCCTGCAGAGCAGGAGCCAGCAGCACCCCCGAGAGGCTTTGCTGACCTCCCCGAGCTCTGGAGGCAGCAAGAGCTGACCGTACCGTTTTTCTTGGGGCCTCTCCACACCACGGCGTCGTCCGGCTTCTCCAGCAGGAAGCCGATGGACATGAGCGAGATGCTCTTCTCCTGGTCCACGAAGACCGGCACCCAGCCGCTGTCGCACTGGTGCACGTCCCTGTCCTGCACCCTGAACATGCGGGGTATGCTGGGGCCGCACAGGTCCACGTCCAGGATCCCCACCTGCGGGAGACGAGGCAGAGCCCTGCAGACAGGCCCCCAGAGCACGGCCCCGGCCCCCAGACCGGCACTGGGAGAGGGGAAGCAGCACCCAAATGGTTGCAGCTCGCAGCAGCCTGCAGACAGGACTCTGAAGCCAAGCTTGAAGCAAAGCTTCAAAGGGCTGCTTTGAGTTCTGACTGCCCTCCCAGTCTCCTTCCCTCCAAGGAAGCACCTCCTGGATATTTACAGGCACTTTGGGGATGTATTTATGGCAGGGACCTGCCAGAAGCTAACAGGCAGTGGCTTTAAGGAGCCCTCCTGGAACTCAGCCGCCTTGTGCTCGCAGCTCCCCTTTGTCCTGGCAGTGCTGACAGCAAACCCGCCTCATTCCACAGGGGGCTGTGTCACAACACAAACAAGGAAATCATTTCCCAGTACCCCAGTTTGGAAAACAACACTGGGGAAAAAAAAAAAAAAAAAAAGAAAAGAAAAGCTTTGGATCCTGTCAGCCTCTTGGACAAAGGGGGAAAAGAAAAACTTCTGCTGGGCGTTTTAGGATCAGGAAAACCCAGACCCTTAGCAGAGCATCCTTGTGCTGCTCACACAGAGCACGGAAAGGACGAGGATGGATGTTGGGAAGAAGTCGGAGCCCAGCCACTCGCTCACCTTCCTGCCAGCCTGCCGCAGCGCCAGGGCCAGCTGCGTGGCCACGGTGCTCTTCCCCACGCCGCCCTTCCCGGAGAGCACCAGCACGACGTGCCGCACGCCGGACAGGTTGCTTTGCTCTGGGAAAAGGGAAAAAAGAAAGGACCGAGGGGTCAGGGGCAGGCAGCGCGGAGCCGTCCCCACGGTGCTGCAGGGGCAGGGGCCGGGTTTGGAGAGGGACCGGGACCGGGGCTGAGCAGAGCCCGCGGGGAGGGCCCGGCCCCGATGACCTCAGCGCTGCGGCAGCGCGGCCACGAGCACCGCGGGGCCCCGGGGTGAGCTCAGCCCCTCGGCGCTTCCTGCCGGGGCCGGGCACCGGGAGGGGCCGGGAACACAACCCCGGTACCGGGGGCAGCGCTGCTGAGGGGCCGCCGCCATGGAGCACGCGGGGAGCACGGCGGAGCTCATCAGGGCCTGCACACGGGGTAACGGCGGGGGGGGCGGGGAGGGACCGGGGGGGAACCGGGAGGGCCGGGAGGGGACCGGGGGGGACCTGAGGGAAACCGGGGGGGAACCTGGGGGGTTCGGGAGGGGACCGGGGGCAACCGGGGAGGGCCCGAAGTGGACCGGGGAGGCCCCGGGAGAGGCGGCGCGGGGCCGGGTGCCAGCGGCAGCCCCGCACCGGGGCCCGCGAGGCTCCGGTACGCGGGGAGCCAAGGCCCGGGGCTGGGGCCGAGCGCCAGGGGCGGTCCCGGTCCCGGTCCGTCCGGTCCCGGCGCTCACCGCCCGCCGCCGCCCCCTCCATGCTGCCGCTGCCGCGCAGCGCCTCCCGCTTCCGTCTTCCGCCGCGGAAGCCCCGCCTCCCTCCGACTGGCAGGCGCTTCCACCAATAGCGTGCCGCGCTCCCAGCCCCACCCCGCCCCTCAGCCTGTCGCCCGACCAATAGGCTCCGCGCTTTCCCCTCGCCGGCCTCCACCCAATAGCTCTCCTCCTCGATGATTGACGCGCGGCACAGCCAGTAACATCGAGCTCCGTGCGGGCTCCTCCCACCTTCCC